TGAAATAAAATTGCCAGTAAATATATGTATATACAATATACAAATAATGATATTTTTACAACATAGAACATAAGTAAAAACAACAAAATTCTTTAATATTATAAACACAAATGTATTTCCTCAACAATAACTGTACTCTGTTAGTTCTTATAGCACGCAACTAGTTTGGCCGTGGCGCCACTGCCTTCACTCACTTGCCCTAATGATAATATGTACGCACATTGTTCTTGCGTCACGTACTTTACGTCTAGTACTAAGAAGAAAACCCGATCAAAACGGACACACTTCTTTTTATCAATAGCACTCAACTGATGCTTGTCTGCTGGAAGGCACGGACATCGAAGATATTCATCGCATTCTCTGCTGCAACTGAACCAGCAGTTGGTTCTGATCCTCTAGCATCTTCTTCATTGAATCAATCTCCTTCTGCGTTTCGGCATGGAATTGGTCTTGCAGCTCCCTTCTCTGTTTGATTGCCTGCACCTCCCCATTCAATCGAGCAGATCGCTGGTCTTCCTTGTGCACCAAGTCTACCACAACTTTCATCTGTGAGACGAGCCCAGTATTCTCATGAAACAAAATGCTCATGATCTCCTGTTCTGTTTTGCCTTCCCTACGCCACCACCGTCGATATATATAACGTGGGAGATAATACAACACATTAATAATGAAGACTGGGATGAGCTCGAAAATCAGCGGGGCAAGAAGCGTCCACAAATTCTGGAGTTCTGCTGGTGTGCCCCATCCTTGAAATTCCCAGAACTGCGCGGATTCCATTTCTTCTGCTGAGGCGATGGTCCCAACTGGGATTGTTTCGGATGCTGGAGCTGGTTCTGGCGGTGGAGTTGATTCGAGTGCTGGAGCTGGTTCGGACAGTGCAGTTGATTCGGGTGCTGGAATTTCTTCTAGTCCTGGAGTTAATTCTGGCGCTGGAGTTGTTTCGGATGCTGGAGCTGGTTCTGGCGGTGGAGTTGATTCGGGTGCTGGAGTTGGTTCGGGCGCTGGAGCTGGTTCTGGCGGTGGAGTTGCCTCGGGTGCTGGAATTTCTTCTAGTCCTGGAGTTAATTCGGGCGGTAGAAATGGTTCGAGTGCTCGAATTTGTTCAAATGCTGAACTTAATTCGGGCGTTGGAATTAGGTCGGATGATTGTAATGAGGGAAAATATCCTCCTTTGAAAATTCCCGCAGGAATTGCTAACATTGCTATGCTGAATACGGTAATTAATATACTCTTATTTGTCTCCATTTTTTGTTTGCTTATATCTGTAAGCTTGAAAGTAAATAGATCTCCTTCCTGTTTCTTCCTCGCAAGGTCTTCTGACACCAGTTATTTCGTGTTCGTCACTGTCTTCTCTCTGGCTTCACAATTCGCACTCTCACTCTGGATACCAAGCACATACTGGCTCACACCCCTCCAGCCGGCCTTTTATACTGCTCTCTGCTGCCACGTAGTCACAGCGGTCTCCCCTGTTACGTCACAGTGTGAAGTGCTGATACGTTATCGCGCGGGGTGCCACGTGGCGATGGCGCTGTGTTACGTGGCCTGTTACGTGGCACAGGCAGCGCTGATACGTTACCGCGCGGGGTGCCACTTGGCGATGGCGCTGTGTTACGTGGCCTGTTACGTGGCACAGGCAGCGGCTCCTATGCTGTTACAATGGTCCCCTATCACAACTGCTCTGCTGTTACGTCATCGCTGGCAACGTGTGTTACCAGGTCCTATCAGTCTTCTTTATGTCATTTGGTCACTATCAGATATATAACTTTAAGCCAAGACTACTACTATCAAAGAGGATGTCTGTAGAAATCATGAATAAACCCCAAAAAAACATATCGTGTAATTAGTGATTTATAGTACTGGCTGTATCACATTTTAGTCGCTGTCATAACGACATCTTTAAGTCACGACGTCAGCTGCCAAAAAGGAAATCCTTGTAAATTACGAATAAAAATAATCATTGAACTGTGTAATTAACAACTTTAAGACACGACTTCAGCTGCCAATAAGGAAATCCGTAGAAAATGTGAATAAAAATAATCACTAAATTTTGTAATTAATAAGCGTATGTTCTCTGCAAGGTTAAGTGAGAACTAGGGTTTTTTTTGGGAGGGGTCAGCGTTTTTATTGGTCATTGTGTCGTATTCAGGATAGAATATATATATATTTTTTAATTTATTGTATAGTTTCGTCTTTCAATTACTTTGTGGTGGGGGATGCCTTGATTATACGAATGCGCCCAGCACTTTGATCTCGTGATGGTCGTCAGCGGTGGTGAAAGCGTCGTAGGTTATGTTTTTCTTTTTTAGTTTTTGCTGTCTTCGCCGTAGATTCGCAAGGAGGAATTAAGTATTAACTTTGCTATTTTAATTAATCCGTCACGTGAACATACAGAATTTATTGTACTAATGCTTTTAAATGGCAGTATGTTATTTGGACATATGCATTAAGTGGAAGTTCATGAATAGTTTTTGTATTTACGAGCACCATTTTGTTGTTGTTAATTTGTGGTTTGTTCAGCTGTGCAGTTGGTAACTTAGATCGCTTAGATCTTGTAACGTACTAAGGGCGTATAGTGTTATTACACTCTGTTTATAACGCTTATAAACCCCGGTTTATAAGACTTTATTATCGATTACATGTTCGTTGTGGAGGCAGGTAGGACATTACATTGGAGATAAGTTGGCATTAAAATATCTGTGGATAATGCCTCCTTCTCGGTTGATATTGGAGGTAAGAATAGGTTACTTAAGTCCCATAAAACATTCATGTAATTTGTTTATTTCTTTGCTGTTTTCCCCACTTGACCTTGCTTAGAAATGTGTTTTGCATGCACTTTTTGGTTTCAGTTTTCAAGCACTACACAAAAATATGTTCCATTTCGTTTTTTAGCATGGGAGACTGAAGGAATAGGCTGTCAGGATATAGATCAGGACCAATGTAGGTGGTGGTTGTGAACACAATAATGAACGTTTCAGTTTGATTAATGCATGGAATTCGTTGATTAACTGAGCAGCTGTCAGATTCTCAAGAAAAACTCTGCACAGTGCAGGTGGCTTTTTCATGGGGAGGGATGGGGCATCGTGTCATGATTTGGGGTTCGTGAAATTTAGCCAGTGTAAGCATAACCTGAGTCAGCCCAATTCTTATCCTCTCAATCATTTTCTTAACAGTTTTTATGAAGAGTGTGGTCGTCTGGGCTGTAACACTGTGTAGTTTCAAATACAAACATTACAGCATAGAAGGCTGTTCCCTTTATATTCAGTGCCATTAGAATCTCTAGTCCAAAATGTTGGCCTACCATCTGCAGAATTGTCTCTTCCTTTGTGATTTTCAAACCAAAATTTGGTATGCAGGATTTGTGGTTCTCATAGTGGTGGTAATGAAGAATTCTGTCTTCTGAGATATCTGTGTAGTTGGTTGAAAGTCAACCAACATTTCAGAGGACATGTCACCATCATCTTCAGGGGTGAAGAATGAGCCAAACAAGAATCCACCATGAATCTATTGATTCTGTAGTGTATTTCATGTATGAATGAAAAGTCTGCAGTCTGTTCTCCGTTCTCACAATCCTTCCTTTTTTATTTCTTGCCAGCTCTTTCCTTATGTTTTGATGTTTTTCAGTACCTGGCTGAACCATCTTGTTCAGGGGCATCCCATTGCTTTCAAATTTTAATTCTGATGCCCTTCTCACTACCCCTGTTTTTCTTCCCCTTTTCTTGTACATGGCAAGACCTGTTTCTCCTTCCACTATGTTAAATTTTGAACTGCAACTCCTCTGAGAAATCTGTTTGTAATTATATTTATCCCTTTTTTATTTTTCAGTCTTTTTATGTATTCGTGAAGGTTGCAATATTTCTTGTCCATATAAGCCTTGATTTGGTCACCTTTACAGAATTATCCAAAGAATATGCATCAAGAAGTTCCACAAGAGCTTTGCATAGAAGGGTAAACAGAAAAACAGATCCTGCACCATTGTAATGTAAATATGATCTGTCTGTAATACTGATGACATATGCCAGTCATTACTGACTTTCTGCATTTTGATATAGCTATGATGAGTGATTGTTTCAGGTTTTTTTATTGCTAGTGGGGTGGGACTAAGGCCCTTGCACTGCGGCCACTTCTGGCCTATTGTACCAGCCCCAGATGATAGGTAAGGGTGATTGTGGAGTGTTCCACACTAATAGTGTAGTCTGTGTGGGTGAACATTTGTTTGGTATGTTTCCTACTCAAAATAAACTAAATAAGGAAATGCTTTATCACCACTGCTTTTCAACTTTACTTTAGATTCTGGCACTGGGAAGGTCCAGGGATGAAGCGACAGGAGGTTGGAGAAAATCGCAAAATGAGGAGCTTCATAGCTTGTATTCTTTGCCAAAGATAATTAAAAGGATCAAGTCAAAGAAAACAAAATAAGTAGGGCATGTAGCATGCAGACAGGAGATGACAAATGCATGTAGGATTTTGGTGGGAAAGCCAGAAGGAAATAGACAACTAAGAGGCCTAGACATAGATTGGAGGATAATGTTAAAATGGATATTAAAGAAACAGGATGAGGTAGTGTGGACTGGTTTAATCTGGCACATGATAGGGACCAGTACAGACTCATGTGAACACAGTAATGAACCTTGAAGGTCCATAAACTGTTGGGAAATTCTTTAGTGGGTGAACAGCTGCTGGCTTCTTAAGAAGGGCTCTGGTCCATGTGGTCAGTCAGTTAATTATTTAGTACAGTAGTAAAGGAATACAACAAACCACGTACATTATATGAGTAAGGAACGATAGCAAACGAAATGACATGAAATCATTCAAAGTAAAAGTTTTGTATTCTCACAATAAATTGATAGTTCCATCAGTAAAGCCAGTAGCTATGAGTGGTGTGACCAGATTTTAGGATGGTTCAGGGTTTCCCTCTGCACCTCCATAGATCCAGAGAGGAAGCATTGTCCATGTGCCAGGTGGCTGAAGCATGAAGTTGATCACTGACCTCTGTGCTTCAGACCCCCCACGCTGGAAGATCAGACCTCATCGCAGCAGCCCTGCCCCTCTACAGATGTGTCCCATTCTCACAGGAGTGGTAGCAGTGACTCGCACCAGAGACCACCACATCTGCAGGCTCAATTGCCATCCGTCCCACAGACTGCGATACCAGAGCTTCCCACCAGAAGGCTCTACCAGCAACAGCCTGTGCGAATCCCACAACGAAGCCAGTCCCAACCTGCTGACCTCACTCAGGTCTGCTCATGTTCTGTGCAAATGCTTCCAAATGCTTATATTGCGTTTAGATGTTGAGCAAAATGTCATTTAAAAACACTGAGTCAGTATCCAGACGCATTTTCTGCTGCAGGTGCATCACTCACCTTCCCTAAGCTGGCGGCAGTCCTCACCCTTGCAGCCCTCCACACGGGGTGGTGACACAGAGAGCGACGATGCTTGGTCCATGCACCACACCCCGAGGGGCACAGGAAGTGATGATGCTACCTCCTGGGAGTTCCGAGAAGCACCAGGAGCCCGGCTAGAGGCGCCAATTGCTCGTCTGGAATCTCTGGATGAGCTGGACCAGGGGCAGGTGTGTCCCTGTGCAGCTCATCAGCATTATATACTGTACAGAATACGTGTGTGACTATAGATGGGGTTCGGGTTGGTGAATAGATGTATTGACCACCTACAGATTCTAACTGCACACACTTCACAGTTTACTGTAGCACACAGTCTGGTGTTATTAGTGTGTTACTAGACGTTTTCTGGTAACAGCTCTAACAGTAGTTATTCCTCTGCCTCCAGCTCAAGTCCTCTCCCACAGACCCCTGTACAGAACCCCCTATCAGCTCTAAGCTCCAAACCTTGTCTTGCCTGTAGAAAACACAGCTGTCTGTGTTGAGGTCCAACTGTTGCATAGCTGCAGGAATGCGTTTACTGAGCCATTTCCTAGAAACAGGTGTGGTGTGTTTGCTTGTCTCACAGTCATTGCATAGTAACAGCTCTACATGCTACAATACTAATTACACAGCAGATTATTGTTTCTCACCTGCACAGTGAACCCGTGGTCATATTGACATGTGGTTTGCTTCTCTGGGGTGAGTGTGATGGTATTTGGTTTCTCCACTTTGTCTGAACCATTTGAATAACTGGGGAGAACTAAAAAAAAAAAAACATTTCATTTGAAAACTGTTGTAATCTGTTAAGGCTGATATTTCTTATTGATGTGAAGTTGTTTGTGAAACAGCAGCAACAAAAATAATAATTTTCCCCTCTTTCCAGGATTCACGGAGCAGCAGTCCAAATGCTGGTACCCCCAGTGGACAGAAACCGGAGGCTCAGTCTTCAGACGTGTAGACAGTTGCAGCTTCTGGCAGGTTTCATGTCCCATGGCTTCTTGTTGGAGACGAACAAGGAATCTGTGAAGGGCCTTGACAAAGCTCATTGGAGATTGAAGTTCTGTGATGAAGTCTACCACTGCATGTGTGCTTGTATCAAGTGTCGTGTAGGTATCACTAGTTTTGCTTCATGTACAGCCTGGAGAATTAACATCTGGAAATGAACTAGATAACAGAATTTTAGCAGTTTTAATACTTGACTGCATCACAAGTTCAGGTGTCACCATAACCGAAAAGATTTGTATACCCAGTTCTTTTCTTGCTGAAACTTCACAGAAGTGTACCGGAGTAAGTAACTTTATCAGAAACCTCTGTTGGTGGCAAAGAGGAGTGATCTGAAAATTATGTAATGTAGGGTAATTTTAAGAGGACAGATGATGAGAATTTCCTTAAGACTGCACAGTGCTCCATTTGAATTGCTATAATTCCGTAATATCTATATGTGACTGTGTTTTAATTTTAAATTGTCCCACTGCCTGATGTCACTCTTGCCTCCTTCATTTCAAGTTCACCATTGAGTGCAGATCTGCTGCCAAAATCTCAGTCCCTCCACAGTGTTTCCCCACACTGCCTTGCAGTTCTCAGCAAAACACCAAGCTCTATTAGCTGTCAGCTTTCTGAGTTTTATCTAAGGAGGAGATTGATGTATAGTATCAATGTATCTATCGCCAGAGTTTTCATTTCAGTATCACTACATGGTATGTACTTTTACTTATATTTGAATGATATATTTATTGTTCTCATTGTATATAAATATGTATATATATATATATATGTGTGTGTGCAGGGTGATGTATATATCATGCTCAGAAGAGTGTATATAAGTAGCTTTGTATATAGACTGGCGCGACTCCTCGGATACGAGTTCCGCTTGTGTGCAAGAGTGTGCGCTTGAATGTTGAAGCAGAAATGTTTGGAAATTTCAAAATGAAACACGTTTTTATCAAATTACGTTTATGCTCAGGTATAAATTTAATTATGGACTTTTTATGTTTGAATATTGTTGAAAGCAAATTATTGTTGAGTGTCTTAACTTGATTGCGAACTCATGGTTGTGATGTAGACCAGCTTATGGTGGAGACAACTCCAGCCATTCATTTTACATACTTCGAATACAGTGTACGATTGGCCCTTCCATTTTGGAGCAAAGGACTCAAATACACGCAAGTTTGATAGGCGATACTGATAAGTAATGACTAAATATTTATTTTTTCTGACATTAATATGCATATTGTTTGAAGGAGATAGGGTGTTCATTGACATACTTTATGACAGGTATAGTCTTTTTGTTGTGATGCCACACAGTTCAGAGAGAGCTGAATGTTTTGGAGAAACATGCCACTTGCATCTTCAGACTCAAAGAATAAGCTCAGCTCAGCTTACCTCCAGCTTCTGCTGGTTTCTCGTTTGACTTATTCCTCAACTCTGAATTTGAAGATGATAATTCCCTGTGAAATGTTCAGCTCTCTCTGAACTGCACCGTTTTATGACCCAGAAAACACTTTCTGTAGTTGCTGCCATGAGAACCGCTTCAAATGTAGCTTAACTTTATATCTACGAAAATTGCGATATATGAAGTGTTTTTTTACCACATATGTTTTGTGTTCAGGCAGCATCTATGTGACTGCCAGGAGTTTTTCCTTACCCCATTGTGTACAGCAAAGTTTGTGCCAGCTGCAGAATGCCCCAACAAAAGCACCCCCCCCCCCCCCCGGNGTCCAGTATTCAACAATTTTTTTAATTATAAATTGTTGCTCTCACATGAAGGAGAAAGCTCTAGATCGCATTAAGTGGAGGAACTGTTTTGGAAGAGACTGTGGACCTGTCGTCTTGACAGATTACTGATGAATGAATGAATGAAATTGTTGTATGGCCCAAGTAAAGGGCATGAGAGGCTTCACACTGGAGTTATCCAACACAACAGTTTTCCTCACAAGCACAAAGCCAGCCCATTCTCCCCACAGGAGCATCTGTGAACTGTGGTTCTCATTCTTTATGAGGCCGAAGGAACACAAAGTGTGCATCTTCCTGTATTTTTGTTCAGACTTGAGAGCATCTGTTGGTACCACTTCTCAGACACTTCAGCGAATTCTGTTGCACTATTTGAACATGACTACCTGCAGTTCAGTGCTTAGCAAAAATTTGTAATGTACAAAATTTCCAAATGCAGTATTCAGAAACTACATTCTGCCGCCCCACCAAATTCTTTTCTCGAATGGAAAAATTCAAAACAGTGCTGTAACGACTTCTCTTAAACTCATCCACTGTTGCTGCTGCCACCTATATTAACACTGTTCATGCTTTAATCTTCTTAAAATCATGTGAAAAGTATCCTTCATATAGGATGAAAATAGCCAGTTTCCAAACCCTTATGGCAGGTCAACACAACGAATCTTTCTTATCTCTTCATCCAGTTTGTATGTTTTCATGCGGGACAGTTTGTACTGCCCTTGAATTTTCAAACAGGCATGCATTTTCAATAATACATTTTTAAATTAAAAAATATATATATATTTAGTCATTTAATCATTGTAAAAATGGAATATGATACAATGTATGTAAAAGTGAATCATGTAATACCAAAATTACTGCCCACCACTGGATAGGAATCTGGAAGGAATTTCAAGAAGGCTCTGGAAAGGTATTTTTTGAACTTCTAGAATTTCCTTTGCAGGACTTTGCTGTGTTTCCAAGTGATGTAACACCACGAGTACAAACACTGTAGGTTACAGTCTCTTGTTAGTGATGTAGGTGGTGCTAAATGGCAGTGCTGCTTCTGACAGACTTGAAAATCTCACAGAATGTTTCAAACTGTTGCATTCATAATGTGCAGAATAAATGCTGTGTCTCCAGAAGAGGTGATAGATTGTAGAGTAAGGCCCCCCATACACCAGCAATCTTCACGCCACAAACACGGTCTTCCAGCCTGTAATGTTGAGTCACACATGTCACGTGCTATGGTCCTGCAGGCAGAACTGACGGACTGATGGGTTTCCTACAGGCCAACAGTCCAAACGGTTGGCCAGCCGGCCGCACCACACACATCAGTTTTGCCTTTCAGTCTTCAACTGTGCAGGCCGAACGGAAGGCCAAACTGTGTGTGTATGGGGGCACTAACATTTGTGTCTGTGTTGTTGGCACACGTGACAATAATGATGGACTTGATGTTTGAGCATGTAACTTTATACAAACAGTTGCATTTTGAAGTCACCACAAATTCACCTTGAAACATAATTACTGGTAGAGTCACAGCTATGCTAAGACTTAAAAATGCAGTTTTATTGTGGCACGGATTGTAGGTTACATAATCTAGGCTGTTAGCAAAGATAAGTCACATTATGAAATAGAAACCCTGGAAAGACTATGAATAGCAGTACACCCAAATTTATAGCCTACATTTCTTCCTGTAACCATTGAAATTTTTATCAATTCCATGACCATTTTTAGTTCAAACTGTTTTCTTAGGAGTGTGTGTGAGACTCAAATTTTGAGATGTATTTAAGAAAAAATCTTGATCTTGATTGAACCGTTGAGTTTTCAGTTGCAAATTTTGAAAATTTTCTGGTAACTGCCGTAGCTTTGCACACTGGCACACAGACTATCCGGTGCATCAGAATAGCAGTGGAGGCACTACTAGTGTGAATCACCTTCCCAACTTATTGTCTCCCTCCCACCCCTTTCTTCTTATGGGGAAAAAGAAAATGGCCCTACAACTGAAATTATATTGTAATAGGATGTGATATTAAAGATGACAGGTAATACACTTAAGAATATTGTGTTCTGTCCATAGCAGAGAAAATTGTCATACTCATGCTGATTCTTAAATTTTTTGTCCAACTGGAGAGTGTATTGTTGCGTTGCCTGGCCATTGTGAGGTTACAAACATATTGATTTAGTCTACAGCATGCTATAAAATATACGTACAGGGTTATAGCAGTTTAGGGAAGTGAAGAGTATCTGTGAATCCAGATACTGTACCTGAGTTTAATTTTCACATAATCTGAAGGTAGCACTGCCACAGCAAGTCTTCATCGCAGCAGAGAAACAGAGAAATGCTTGCATGTGGCTCCATCATGTTCTCTTTTACTCTGTATAACTTTCCTATTTTATGTATTCTGGAATTATGAGCCGTTTTTAAAGTAAGGTCTGCAGAAACGTGCCAGTATACTGCTAAATATAGTCTGTATTGTACACTCTTGGTGCATATATCTGTACATACACAGCTGTATGGTAGTGAGGCTTCATGAATGTATAAGTTGTTACAAAAACATTGCTACAAACCTTACTTTTAAAATGGCTCAATATCGGTGAAAGAAATGGTTCAGCTATACTGACCAATGCTTGTAATTCTTTCTCGATACAATGGCTTAAGTGTGTGCCTTCTGCTAGCTCTGTTTCTGAGGTGAAACAGCATACATTGCCCCAAGTGAAGTTCACTGAAATTGTATAGAAAATTAATCCTTTAATCTGTTGTAATTTTCACTTATAATTGGGGATTTGAACCGAACACACAAAGGACAATTCTGTTCCATTGCAGCTGTATGAAGACGCCTTGACTTTTGAACCTGAATTCTTGTGACTTGTTTATAATCCAATAGAAGCAATGTGATGATATTGATGAGATCACCTCAACAAGTGATACAAAATGGTTGCATGCAGTGCGTGGGAAGACATTTTTCTGTGATGAATGCACAACTGATGTTGTACCCATATACATTGTTTCCTCTTAAAAACATATAGCAAATTTCCTTGAAAACTATTACTACTGAGACTTACATGCTGGAACAGTGAGCTTGACCTGACAGCTAACCATCACGGTTCGTGTTTATCTGACAATATAAAGACATTTGTTGTGATATGGTGTAAAGAAGTGATGAACCTACATTGCATTATGATGCAATCTGTTTACTGTACTGTGCTCTGATAGCCCTGGTGCCCTAATAAGATTATCAGCAATCACTTCTGCACTGTCTGCCTTAGTGAACTTTGGGTAGTTACAGTCATTAATTTCGCAGTGCTCTATCAAGTGCAGAGCATTGGAAACCCATGTTAAGGTATAATTCAGACACTGGTATTGTCATGATGTGTGACTCTTACTTGAAATATAATCCAGTTACCAGCAGGATCCAAATGATCCGTATTGTCACTGAGTTAATCTGTTCTGAGATATGTTTTAAGGCTCACTTTGCTTTGGAGTGTAAGGTGAATAACTGCCTTGACAAAGAAGGCAGAAATGGAACAAAGTATGACATAGTCACTCTTTAACACCCAGATGACAGAGCAGAAGTTAAAAGTTCAGGATAAAAAATGTTTCATTTTAGGATAGCAGAGGAAATGTAACAATTCTGTACCTCCATTGCACAATAGTTGTAACACAAAAAGACATTACTACAGTCTTGAAAATTATTATATTTCTTTTCATTGCAAGTATATTCCAAAACAGAATATGAAAGAAAAGAGTAAATGTATAATAACTGAACAAACACAATAAAATTAAGTAAAAAATACTGAGCTAACAAATGGACAAATGCTAATAACAGTAATGTCAAACCAAATCTCTTGGCATTTTAAGTGTGCACAATCAGATATATTACTGAGAGCAAGAACAGTGTTATATGTATATACATTCACTTCCAGGTCCTTAAACTCAAATCAGATCCCTAGGACAAAACATTCTGGGTTAGAAGAACAAATGCTTGTATCAAATATATATCATAAATTAACATGCATTTCCATTCTCCATAGGTTATAGGTTTGACTGTTACTTTTTAAAGCCTTCTGTTGATTTCATTATGACAGCAGAAATGTCTTGAAGTGTCAGGGGTGAAGGTGTTAAGGAAGTCCTTGCTAATTCAGAAACCAATTTTATTGTCCAAAAAACTTTGTAGTCAATATTTTTGCTATAACTACATGGAAAAGGAACAGGTGATTTTATTTTTCAAAATTGGCTGTAAATGCATTGCTCGTTGACACAGATTGCATCATGTGTGATGTAGGTGATTCCCAGTACCAGTTCCAGAAAGTTCATTGCATAGAACATTCATATTGCCATAGTGCAACTGCAGCTTGTGCAAACATGCCAAAAATCCAGTAGGCATAGCACACACATATAGATCTGATAGGATGCCTATGCATGATAGTGTTTTATACAGAATGTGTGATTAGACTTTTTCTTCATTGCATATGTGAATCCCAGGCAGCAATCTAGACACTGTTTCATACTTTTGTTACTAAGCACATATGTACATAACAGCATTATTCACAATACTTTGCACTTTGTGATTTATTTTTATTCAAAAGTGTTTTAGTGCTTTGAGCAGATTTTTACAGTGTCTTTTATTATGTATCTGCACATCTGAACTGAAGTGCATTCTCAAGAATATCAGCTCTGTAAATTATATCATTCTATTTCATATGTGAATCACTGATTGTTATGATATAATAATAATAAACACAATTTGAGCCTTGTTTAAAATATTTCTTCAATTAACACTTTGCCTGCCAAGCACCACCATTGAGCTGCTTGTTAGAAATCTCAAGGCTCCTCAGAGTCAGTGCAGTTGTAGAGAAAATCCCACAATACTGTCTTCTGATGACCTTCAGACAGCAATAGATGTTGACCATGGGAAGAGATTTTCCTTCCTCTAAACAATGGTATGTCACAATTGATGCTGTCTAGTGACAGAAATGCTGTACTAATTGATTAACAACAAACCCATTTCTATAGCTATGGTAGTTTTAACCCATAGTATCTTAAGCCAATCCAGTCAGTGTTTTCCTGTGCAGAGGACTGGTTGCTTTATTGATTTTTTACAGAAGTTTATCCAACATCCCTTCACAAGGTTACATACATACATACATACATACTTACATACATCAGCGTTTCAGAGTATTCACAAGTGTGCAACTGGCACTGAATATAAAACTTGTCAAACAACAGTCACAAGACAATCACAGATAAAATCGCAGAAATATCAATTCAACCATAGTTAATATCTAAACTGAATACCTCAAATAAATAGATACAATGTTACACATACAATTTTACCAACAAGATAATTAGCAATACATAATTCTCCTTCCTTCACTTACACTTACACTTAATGTCTATATTAATGCCTACTGTGGGACATCCATCAGTCAGCATGCACTCCCCTTCTATTCCTTAGCTGTTGATCCCGACAGAAGAGCAAAAATTCATCAGCGGTATATGACGGATTATGTATTAGGACATCTCTTATTTCATTTATAAACTGTTTTTATCATATACTAAGTTAGATAAATATCCAGGCAGACTGTTAAATATAAATTATTGGGGATCATCAGTATGGGTTTCAGCATAACCAGTCAACAACTGATCATATTTTTTACATGCATCAGTTAATGGAGAGAAAATGAGAGCACAATGAGACAGTACGTCAGTTAATCAAGGACTTCAAGAAAGCCTGTGATTCTGCTAAGAAGGAAGTATTTTACAATATTCTCATAAGAGTTTGGGATACCCATGAAACTAATTAGGCTGATTAAAATGTGCTTACATGAAACGTGTAATAAAGTCTGTATAGGTAAACGTTTTTTCTGATAATTTTTCTATCCAGAATTTTCTAAAACAAGGAGATGCTTTATTGCTACTGCTTTTCAACTTTGCTTTAGAATATGCCATTAGGGAGGTTCAGGAAAAGCAGTTGGGACTGGAATGAAATGGTACACATCAGCTGCTGGTTTATGTTGATGGTGCAAATCTATTGAGAGGTAACATAGATACCATAAAGAAAGCACAGAAAGTAAGATTTGAGGTTTTCACAGTGGCAACTATGAAGAAAGCAGTCTTCTGGGATGTCGCGCTGTGTAGATGTGGTTCACATCTACATGGTGCCACATCCCAGAAGACTGCTTTCTTGAAAGCACAGAAAGTTTAATTGGTTATAGTAAGGAGGTTAGTGTAGAAGTAAATGCAGAGAAAACCAAGTATATGTTGCTGTCTTGTCACCAGAATGCAGGACAAAGCCATGATACAAAGACGGCTAGCAGATGCTTTGAAAGTATGATAAATTTCATATATTTTGTGATGACAGTAACAAATCAAAATTTGATTAATGACAAAATTAAAAAGAAGTTAATAATAGGTAATTTATGCTATCATTAAGTCATCTTTTATTCCTGCGTGCTGTAGGGAAAATGCAAAGATTATTTGCCAGCATTATTATATGTGGGCAGAATTTGGTCTCTGATAGTAAGAGAACAGAGGCTGAGAGTGAAAACATGGTGCTGAAGAGAATACAGGGACACAAGACAGATGAAACACTGGTAATGGGAACCTGAAGAAAACTGCATAGTGAGGAGTTTCATAATGCGCATTCCTTACCCAATACAGTCAGAATCATGAAGTCAAGGAGGCTAAGATGGGCAGGACTTGTAGTACATGTGAGAGAGGAAAGTATTGCATGCAGTTATTTGATAGTGAGACCTGGAAGAAAGAGATCACTAGGAGAACTAGATGGTGATGGGAGAATCATGTTAGGTTGGATCATACAGAATGGAGGGGTGGAGGGGATGGCTGGGTTCATCCGGTTCTGGAGGGAGCAATGTTGGGCCCATGTGAACATGGCAGTGAACCATCAGCTTGCATACAACAGGAATTTCTTGAGTGGCTGAGGAATTTTTTTGCTTCTCAAGGACTCCTTTCCGTGTAGTTAGCTATATAGATAGCAGCAAAAGAAGAATGGTATCCATATGTAAAATGCATGTCTTTATGGTTATGTCATTTTCTTTACAGTTAGTTTGCACATTTGAGCAATACTGCTCATTTTAGTTGGCTATCCTGACATGAGAATTAGAATATACGAAACTATAATTATGCCTGTGGTTCTGTATGGGTGTGAAACTTGGTCTCTGACATTAAGGGAGGAACATAGACTGAGGTTGTTTGAGAACAGGATGTTGAGGAGAATATTTGGACCGAAGAGGGATGAAGTGACAGGAGGTTGGAGAAAACTGCATAATGAGGAGCTTCATAACTTGTACTCTTCTCCAAGTATAATCAGAATGATTAAGTCAAGGAGGATGAGGTGGGCAGGGCATGTAGCACGAATGGGGGAGACGAGGAATGCATATAGGATATTGGTGAGAAAGCCAGAAGGAAAAGGACCACTGGGAAGACCAAGGCGTAGGTGGGTGGAAAATATTAAAATGGATGTTAGAGAGGTAGGATTGGATTGAACTGTCTCAGAATAGGGACCAGTGGAGGGTTCTTGTGAACACGGTAAAGAACCTTCTTGTTCCATAAAATGCTGGGAACTTCTTGAGTAGCTGCAGATTTGGCTTCTCCTCAAGAAGGGCTCAGCTCCATAATGTCCATAAGTAAGTATCCTGACATGAGAAATTCAATGTCTACCGAAGGCAACACAACTTCCACGGATTAGCTGCAAATGATATCTCTGATCTCTCTGATCGTCTCTGATTGCGTGAGGTTGCATTCGGTTGGTTGTGTTCCGGTGTGTGCATCGTGGTGTTGGCTGTTGTTTCGCTTGTGAATAAGTATAATTCATTTGTAAGATTTGTTACAAAAACATTCAGAATGGCCCAGAGTAAACTGAATGACTTGGCTGGACGTTTTGCCAAAGGGCCTAAAGGCGTAGGAACAGGACTGAAAATTTTGGCTGCGGCCGGTGCGGCTAGTTACGGCGTGATTCAGTCCATGTACACAGGCAAGTCATGCTATGACTTGATAAAATACGTATCGGTGTATTTTAGTTTTAAGATTCACGAGATGTGTTTCGTGACAACTTTTGTAAGTAATAATTCAGGTTATTCCTAACCTCTTCGAAGTCAGAGATTGTTTTGTTGCATCAGCCATAAGTGATTCACTAACTTGCACATATTGAGGCCTTTTTACCACTGGAGACATTAAAAAATGATGTATTTTTCCTATGTACGTTCTATAATAACGTATGGATTAATATTCTGGGGTAACGCCCCGCATAGTATAAAAGCGTGTAGGATGCAGAAAAGGATAATTAGGATTATGACAAAGAGAACACCACCGTGTCGTAGTTTGTTTCAAGAATTGGATATCCTCCCCCTAAAAGCTCAATATATATTGTCGATTTCCCTGTTTGTTATAGTAAATAGGGAATTATTCACATTCAACTCACAAATGCGTAATTGTAGTACCAGATCTGTCTATGATCTGCATTATCCGCAAACTAGTCTAACACAATTCCAAAAAGGAATATGTTACATAGGGGTAAAGATCTTTAATCATTTGCCACCAAAAATGAAATCTATGCCTAATGACCNCTATATCTATGTATATGGATTTATGGAACATACAATAAATGAATGAATGCATGTATTCCAGTAGACTTTATTTGCTTTCCATACATCAGGTTAAATTCTCAAAATGGACAAGAGATTTCCCTGTATTCATCAGTGTCCAAACCGCCTTGGGCCCACCCAGCCATATGTACATTGTGTGCTGTGGGACTCCTTCCCCAGGGTTAAAGTGGCAGGGGCGTAAAGCTGACCTTTCACCGCCATTCAGTGCTGAGGTCAAGAATGATGGAGTTATAAGTCCATTCCCTCATGCTTCTTCATGGTGTGGTGATTAATTAAACACAGAGACAACTTTTAACATTTCTACTTCCATAGATTCTTTCTTAGAACATGTCATAATGGAAGTACAGTAACTTACTTCACATATATAGGGGAGATTCTTGCCTTTGTTGACCAGTTCATGGCTGTGCGCTTCACAGCAACTGGTCCACCTCTGGCTGTGAGGCACATACAAATTTTACGGATGAATCAATATGCCTCATGACCAGTAGCATTCAGAATTAAGGGAAGCCATTAAATTTGTGGTTCTAGATTTTAACACAGTTGTTTAAACAACACTTGTAATTATAATAATGTATAAATATTTCAATAAATTCAGGTACATCGCTCTAGTTGTTGAAAGCTAGGATTTTATATTCATGACATTGTAATGGCATTGTATGTATGTATTGATAATGACCAATCACATTGTGATGGTAGTTTCTGCCCCTTTGATATGTACCTTCTGAAGATGGTCTCTCTGACTGAAACATGTCAAGGATGAAAGATTAAAAAGGAGAAAGACCGTTTATCAGTCACACTGGATGGAGTTGATAATCTTTTATACAGTGAAAGTAATTCTTCATTATTTTGTTTATTATTTATTAATATCTTGTTTGATCATTTATTATTGATCAGATTGAGAGCTGATTTCTTGAATGTTGCCTACAGTTGAAGGTGGACACCGTGCTATCATATTCAGTCGTATCGGAGGTGTACAGGAGGAAGTGTTTGCTGAAGGACTGCATTTCAGAATTCCATGGTTCCAGTACCCCATCATATATGATATCCGGTAAGCAAACATTTATTTTGTGCCCTTGCATTCAACATCTTGGGTGAATAATTTAACTCTTGATGCCTGAAGTTCATCTAAGTAATATTTAACCCTTTAGAGCTCAGTGGTTGCTATATGTACCACCTACTTTTAACACACTAAAACTCTGCATTCTGCCCACAGAGTGTATTAATGTGTTCCATATGGTTCTCACAGTAAACAGCGACTGTTTCCCTAACAACATTAACCAGTTGGGCTCTGTAGTGGAGACGTAATGTTTCCTGTGAGGTACAGACTGAACATACCAAAACCCCGTATTCTGCCCACAGAGTGTATCTGTGTGTTCCATATGGTTCTGACAGTAAACAGCGACTGTTTCCATAAACAGCATTAACCAGTTGGGCTTTGTAGCGGATACTTAATGTTTCATGTGAGGTATGGACTGAATATACCAAAACTCTGCATTCTGCCCACAGAGTGTATCTCTGTGTTCCATACGGTTCTCATAGTAAACATCGACTGTTTCCCCAGATAGCATTAACCGGTTGGCCTTTGTAGTGGAGAGGTGATGTGTTTCCTGTGCGGTATGAACTGGATTCTCATATATTATTTAGAAGAAATTCTGTCTTAAATGATTAACAATTAAGTTCCTACATGTACCTCAAACACATTGTATCCCTATTACAAACACCAACCAGGCAGTGCTGTTTAGGGAGATAATCGCTTGGGATTACTGAGCTTTTGGGCTTTGTCCATCATGCAATATTAACCTCAGTCATTGGGCTACCAAAGTCATTATGACTGTGTCCATATGTGAACCTGAAATCAGGTCTTGTCAGACAGATATAATCAAATTTACAGGAGAAATGATTAGATGTACAAAATTACTAGAAGAGTGTTATTTTTGGGGTGTGACGTCTTGTAGTCCAATAGAACTTCTGATCACAAGGCATTATGTGGACTTCTGCCACAGTACATGGTGTCATGGCTGAACTCTTGGCAAACATGTTCATGGTCACTGTGGGGAGAACCTCAAGTTTAGTATAACTTTGTCTCTCATAATAAGTGAAGGATATAGAGGTTGATACTCCTACACAGAAGATGAAGGCAGGTTCCTCTGAAACGCTGACAGTGATATACCAGATTACATGATGTCGCATCCCAGAAGACAGTAAACTTCATAGCCACTGTCAAGAGAACTCTCAGTTCCTCTTAGATTTGAGGAGAATATTTGGATGTAGGGGAGAGGTACTGATGGCAGCTTGGGGAAAACTGCATAATGAGGAGCTTCATAATTTGCATGATCAGATCCATTAGGATGAGATAGGTGGGGTATGTAGCATGCATCAGAGTTAATAAATGCACGTACAATTTTATTCAGAATACTTGAAGAGGATATGAACTTCAGGGACTTGGACCTTGATGGGAGGATAATGCTAAAACATGCTGTAAACATATGTGAGAGTGGAGGCGGTTCAGCTGGCTCAGGATTGCACCTATGGTGTACTGCTGTGAACATGGTTCTGAACCACTGGATTCAATAAAGTGCAGAACCTTTCTTTCTCAACTAACCATCTATTAGCTTCTCAGGAAGATCTCTTTAATGGAATCTGTAACTACCATTGTGAGAGAAGCCATGTTTTATATTATGTTTTTGATATTCCCTGAAGCGAGGCCTCTGAATTGATCAGCCGGTTTTTTATTTTCTTAAGTGTATGTTCTGAGAGTGCAGTAATTTGTTTGTAGGTTAGTGACCCACACAGCTCTCTGACTTCCTGTCTGCAGGTCACGACCCCGCAAAATCTCTTCCCCAACAGGAAGCAAGGATCTGCAGATGGTGAACATTTCTCTGCGAGTTCTGTCACGTCCAGATGCTGTCAGGTTGCCAAGCATGTACCGCCAGCTGGGTTTGGATTATGATGAGAAAGTTCTTCCTTCAATCTGCAACGAGGTACTGAAGAGTGTGGTCGCCAAGTTCAATGCATCACAGCTCATCACACAGCGGCAGCAGGTACCATACTTCGAGAGATGTGTAACTCCCTAACTCTCCCTTCACATTGCCTATCAAATGTTTTCTGGTTTTCACAGCCACGGACATTCGTATTATGGGCTTCAGGGTTGTAACTTCATGCAGCTTGATGTGTAAAATCCCAATTTAATGTTCTGCTTTTAGTGAATATTTCTTTTTGTTCCTGCATTTACTGTGTGATGTAGTCTGTTCCAGTACTTGTACCTTCCTTTAGTGTGGCAGGTCAGAAGCAGCAGTCAGTATTCACGTTTTCTCTCTGCCAGATGCAAGCATTGTGTTTATTTCATAACATCTTTAAGTACTTTAAAAATTAATTTAATATTTTTGATTAGTCATTTCCAGGAAAGTATTTAATCAGTGTGGTCAGTGGAACCTACAGGACTCTACAGATTTTATGCTGGCATAGCAGTAATATTCTATGCTGGTATTCTGGAGGTTCTTGGTTTGAATCTCCGCCAGTACATCATCTGTCATGGCTGATGTGTGGCTTTCCTCAGTTATTCCAGGAAGACTCCCATCTTTATACCATGACTGCTTCTTTCCACATCCTTTCCAACACATCTCTCCACGCTACATAGTCTAGCTGCTGAGAGTCTACAGAAAAGGTTAACTGTGATGAGCTGATGAGTTTTTGTGGTGTTGCAGGTGTCCCTGCTGGTGAGGCGTGAACTGACAGAACGAGCCAGAGACTTCAATATCATCTTGGATGATGTGTCCATCACAGAACTGAGTTTTGGCAAGGAATATACAGCTGCTGTTGAAGCCAAGCAGGTGGGAGCACTGTTACATCCACCTCATTGTATCCTGAGGCTCACTCATTCCTTGAAGTTTTGCTGCGAGCTCAGCACAGTGTTGCCCATACTGTGAAGAGACTGTGCACCTCTGAACTCAGTTTGTATCAGGCTGATGCTTAGTTTTGGGCTGTTTGCAGGTTGCGCAACAGGAAGCACAGCGTGCAGCGTTCGTTGTGGAGCGTGCCAAACAGGAGCGCCAGCAGAAGATTGTCCAGGCTGAGGGAGAGGCAGAAGCTGCCAAAATGATATCCTTTCTAATGGAAACTAACATCACTAACTAAACTGCTTTGTTCTTGATCAGTCATTTCAGCACTGTTCCTTATTCTGGGAGCAGATGTACCACAGGCACAACACATTCGTTTAGTGAGTGTGAAGCAGTTATTTTGTGGCCTTACTCACCAGTTGCCCTTTACCCGCAGGAAGATTCCTGGTTACTCATTTCTCTTAGAGGCTGAGTCGAGCCTAGGGCCACAGAATGGCTGGTAGGATTTCATGATGTAAGTTGTATTTGTATAACAACACATGATATGAGGTGATTGTCAGTGGTGAGTACGCAAGGGCTGGAATGGAGGCAGTCATTTTGTTTTCCCAGACACTGCAGAAAATTATGGAAGCTGAGTGATGGTATTTCGTAGCCCAGATGTGGTATGTACTTCTCTGTTTTGGAGCAGGTTGTGAAGCAAGAAACATTTCTTAATGTGCTGCTAATGTATTGTAATTTCTTTCTGAAACAAGCAGCATACAGTGGGTCATATCTTAACTCTAGGTGGTTTTGTGGCAGCTTGGAATGTCCAACTCTTGCCATGTGTGTGCATGCTGTCTCACTGCTAGGATGTGGTCTAGAAGTGCCACTGCCTCCATCTTTAGGGCAGAAGTGAGTTGGATACGAAACATTATCGGATGGCTCTTCCAAGGGCCACCAAATGCAGTAAAACCCATCAGAAACTGGTGTTCCCAGGTGGTCACCCCTCAAAGTGCTCAGCAAACACATTGTTGCTTAAGTCAGGTGGTGGAGGGATCACTGTTGGTCAAGGAGGGTAGGTCGCGGCAGCATTTAGGAATGGAGTATGGTGTAAGGAGAGGCATGGGAATAGCAGTAGCTGATGGCTTTTTGGTGTGTTTAGTGGCCCTAAGATACAGCGTTTGGATAACATTTCCATGCCCACTGTCTCTTGGTCCAAATGGTATCAGCCCTTGTCCATTCTTCTGTGGCTCTATTGAACCAGAAGCTACATATACATGAACACTGAGTTATGCTATTAACATATCCCTGAAGGTGGAGGCAGCATATACCTGCGAGACATTGGCAGCCCTGTGCACATCCTCATGATACAAAGATGTGACAGTAGAATAAGGATCAACAGTGAACCACTGTGAAAGCGTGAGGTCAGTAGAACTGTAAGGTCTGAGTGTGACCTGTTGTTACATCACTGTGGTTAGTGTCCTTAACACAACTATACTTGGGACAGGCAGTGTCACAGAACCCTGGTTACTTGAAGCTGCGCAAACTCCGTGCTGCGCAGAGCATCTCCAGGACGGTGAGTTGGGTAATACTGCAAATTGCATGGCTCCCGTCTGACCACTTGGTCACACAGTTTACTCAGCACACCTTACATAATGTTTAAACTTTGTGTTACCTAACTCTCTCCACAAAACAGAATCTTCCTGAGAAACTTATGGTTGCTCAGCGAGCCAACATATTCCCTACCATTAATAGATCATGAACATAAGTTAGCTGAACTTGATCTGAAGGCAGATGAACTCAGTCTGCATTGTTACATATGTTTTTTTCTCAAGAACCCTTTTAATATTATCCTTCTGTCTATGTCTAATTCTCCCAAGTAGTTGCTTCCTTTGGAAATATTTTCTTCATAACTGTGGTACCCTGAAGAGTGAGCTGTGTGACCAATGGCCAGGGTTTGAGGTTAGATGTCCCAAATGACAGAATCATAGTGGTGGGTATTCTGTTTATAGTACGGGAAGTTTGAAATTAATATTTGAATTCTCAAACTTGATAGCTTTATTGTGGAATGTTTGTTAAAAAACAGTTGGTAGTGGGTAATACATAAGAACGTGCTCCTGTAATATCTTTGTCGTCATGTAGGCAACTGTCATTATACATGGGGATTGTCCCTGCAAATTGCAGTGTGTGTTGAGAATGCATAAAATATGGGCTGCACAGAACAAACACTGAACACAGTGGAGATGAGGTAGGAAATGACCTGACTGGGTCAAAAGTGTGGGGAAGGTCAGGGAAACTGGATACACAGCTCACTGTGTGAGTGGCAGCATTGTCCATGGTCACAGATAGAACATTGACATTTCTCATGGCACAGGAAAAAAATAAGACATGGATAATACAATTGTATATAATGAAATTACAGGGGATCATGAGTGTGGGTTTCATCATAGCAGATCAACTACTGATCAGATTTTTGCATTTGTCAGATACTGTAGAAAAGAATGGGACTACAATGAGACAGTACATCAGCTATTCATAGACATCTAGAAAGCCTATAATTCAGTTAGGAGGGAAGTATTGTACAGTATTCTCATAGAATTTGGGGTACCCATGAAACTAGTTAGGCTGATTAAAATGTTTTTAAATGAAATGTATAGTAAAGTCAATAAAGGTAACCATTTGTCTGATAAATTTCTTATCCACAATGGTCTAAAAGAAGGAGATGCTTTATTGACATTCCTTTTCAACTTTGCTTTAGAATATGCCATTAGGAAGGTCCAAGAAAACCAAATGGGGCTGAAATTAAATGGGACCCATCAGCTGTTGGTCTATGCCGATGATGTGAATCTCCTGGGTGATAATATAGATACCATAAAGAGAAACACACAAACTTTAATTGACGCAAGTAAAGAGGTTGGTCTAGAAGTAAACACGGAGAAAACTAAGTATATGTTGCTGTCTTGTCACCAAAGTGCACTGCAAAACCATTACATAATGATAGAAAACAGATGTTTTGAAAATGCGGCACAGTTCAGATATTTGGGAGTGACTATAACAGATGAAAATTTGATTCAGGAGGAAATTAAGAGGAGATTGAATTCAGGTGATACTTGCTACCATTCAGTCCGGAACATTTTTATTCTTGTCTGCTGTTTAACAACATAAAAATGTTAATATACAAATCTATAATTTTGCTTGTGGTTCAGTATGGGTGTGACAGTCTCTGATGTTAAGGGAGGAACATAGACTGGATTGATCTGGTTCAGGATAGAGACCAGTGGAGGACTCTTGTGAACACAGTAATGAACTATCAGGTTCCATTAAGTACTCAAAAGTTCTTGAGTAGCTGCACAACTCTTTGCTTCTCAAGAAGGGCTCAGCTCCATGGAGTGAGTTCGTTGGAATGTAACGAGGGGTGCCCGTGCTAGACTCAGTTGGCCTGTTAGGGGCATCACAAAACAACCCTTACATCTCTTTAATGTCTTTTAGGCCATGTCTACTCATCATTTTCTCACTCTGGAGGCCACAGTTCAATATAAGGGTTTTCCATGCAGAATTTGTGGTTGATTAGTGACAGTGAGGTGGGATTTTCTCCAAGTGCTTCATTGTTTCTGTGCTAATTACACTTCTGTCAGTGCTCCATACCTAGTCACATGATATGGTTCAGTAGATCCATTTGAGGCTCCAGTATCAAGGGACTGAGCCTCACCCCACTCCCAGATTTACGGAGGGATTTTATTTGTCAACTTGAACTTTCAATTCTCTTTCACAGAATTGTATAGTATGTTTTATTAGTAACATTTTAATTCTAGTACCATAAAAGAAGCCTGGAATGTGCCTTTCACACACTAATTTGTATGATGCAGTATTTCTGCTGAATGACTCTCTTTACCCTTTTAAAGGCTGAATTTCTTCTAAATATTATATAAAACTTCAGTCCTTACCTCACCTCTCCACTACAGAGCCCAGCAGTTGCTGTTTACTGTGAGAACCATGCAGAACACACAGATGCACTCTGTGGGCAGAATGCAGGGTTTAAATATGTTAAAGCAGGCAGTACATGTAATAACCACTGGGCTTTGAAGGGTTAAATTGTGAAGTATTGAGTTGTGGTTGCAGATGATGACTGTTGTTGATGTCACATTACAGATTGCCAACTCGCAGAACAGAGTGTTCCTGAATGGAAACAGCCTCATGCTTAACATCAATGAACCAACATTCGATGACTTGAGTGAGAAGTTGAAAAGTAAGAAGTAGACACCTGTTGGTGGTAGCTAGGCAGTAGAGACATCTTAGAACTGACACACGGTGTCTTCTGCAAAGTGTGTGCTGCTGGGCATGTTGCTCAAGTTACGTATGGCAGCATCTTGAGATTTGAGGCTCATAGCTGTGCAGTGTGGTGACACTGGGGTATCACAGGAAACTGTTGCCTCCATCTTCCCAACAGAAGAAGGAGCATTTTACTCTGAAGATAGAAGTGACAGATTTGTCCAGAATATTCATATCTGTCTACCAAACTGTACAGCATCACACCCTAGTGTTTCTCAACCGCTGGGCCACGGCCTGGTACCAGGCCCTTGCCTTATATACAGATGTTGAGAACCACTGCCTAATGACTATAGCCACAGCAGCGTGTTGCTTTGCTGTAGTATGTTGGCATGCCTGCAGTTGCAGGTAACAGTGTAGGGAGCAACTCACGGGCGCTCCAGTATCTAGATTTATATGTTTTTTCCTGCTTTTTAGTTTTATAGCCATTGCATATGCAATACAAGAAACATGTTCCGAAACCTGTCGTCTTCTGGGTTATGACACGGTGTAGTCTGGTTATCGCGTCTCCTTCAGCTCTGTGACACATGCTAGAGATGTGGTGATGTCATGCAAGTGTGAGGCACAGACAGATATTACTTTGTCTAATGCATTTACAGTGCTATTAATTCTGTAAGTACTAGCTTCATTCCAATTTTTGAAGTGGCTATGCCAGTTCTGATGATTCAGTGTCGTACTTAGGCTGTTTTCCTGTTGACTAGTGTGGAACACCTCAAGCTGAGAGAAGCAGCCTGCATGTAATTGACAAGAAGACTGTCAAGTGGAGACAAGTATTTCCTGCTTGCATATAGCAGTTCTCAGATCAACCAGTAGACGGCAGGAAATATCATGGTCTGTTGAACAGACCTTGGTGATGGGCTCCAAATGGAGGAACACATCTTATGGGATTGTAAATGGCACGAGGACTAATGGGCAACAGTGATGAACGTTCTTTGTGCAAACAGCAAAATAGAATACCCAAAGTCAGTTAAGGCTAGAAAAAGAAAGATTTGTAAAAGGTGTCTGTTACTTCATAAACAACATTCCTATATTTATTTAAAATATATATGTAAGAAAATAAAAAGAAGTAAATTACAAAACAATAACAATTACTCGCAGATTTAAGTTAAGATACATATTGAGAATTGCAGGGAGACTACTGTAACAGAATAAGGTATTTGTAAGGATGTGTTGTAGAGGGCCAAATGGGCATTGCCTTGGCTTTCCTTTTTGTATTTACACATATATTTCACAATTAAAAAAACATGTTGAAGTTCATATGGTTTCAGTATCCTCAACAGAGAGCAGTTACACATATGTATTTAAGGTCCTGCAGACGGTGTACCCATCATGTACAACTGTTGTAGTGGTGGGGTACATAGTAGCATGTACAGGAATGAGGAAGTGGGTTGGGAGGTTAACACCCCAACCTGCAGAGCTGAAGAATGCATAACCAAGAAACACACCATATCACAACCCAGAAGATGACAGTATGAATGTCCACTATTATAGGAGCCTCAAATCTCATATTTGTGGGCTTTGCCAGAATGACAGTTATTCCAGTTGTGAGGTTGGCACCACTGTGCCTTGCTAGCACTTTAGACTTAGTGCCTGCTGTTTCATAATAGGATTTAAGGAGGACAAAGTGAAAGTTGTGTGTACAGACAAATTCTTCATGTGTTTGTTTCAAGAGGTGTGGGCCTAGGTAAACGAGCAGACACATGGAGAAGTATGTACGTCATAGCCACATGTCTCGGCGATGTGGAGGTGAAATTTATCACATGTATCAAATATAAGCTCATGTTGGATCAGGTATTGCTGACTGATATCAGAAGCTTATAAGGAGAGACCATGGAACCTTTTCCTTCCCAACTTCATTTTCCACAGTTGGTAGCTCTGTGCAGCTGTCACCATTTGACAGATTTTGTTCAAGGGCTCTCATCACACGCCTTCGCAGTGTTTGGATATTTCGAGGAAGTAACATTACAAATGTGCCAAGTGGTGATGTAAGCTAGCTCACTGAACAGTGTGTCACTATTTGATGCTTTCCGTCTCTGGCTACAGTTTCCACAGATGACACTTCTATTCATACAGCCTTTGAGGGACACTTTGATTTTGACCATGAATATGTACGCTGTGAACTTGGCAAATTCTGGAAATCTTAACAGTACGCATCCTGTTGTGTGTCATATATAGGATATACAGTACAGTGGGGGCAGTCTACACAACAGTATTTCTGAAAAAACAAAATAGATACTACTATATCAACATTTGTTTATTGGTTGTTGACGCTGCATGTTTCGACCCTTATGTTGTGTCATCATCAGGTGTATAATAATACTAGTATTAGTTCTTGAATTAAACTAGTTGTGTTGGTTCTGACCTTCCTATTGTCATGTGAAGCTTATGCTTGCTATACTGTGTATTACTCAACATGTTTATACTTGGAGTGAGGTAATTCTAGATTTTTTATGTTAAATGTAAAGGCAGTTCCCCATGATGACATGTATTGGCACGCAGGCACCCCACACCATAATTATTCCTACCACCTGGATCAATAATCAATACATAGTGGTCACAAAGTTTTGAACAGGTGCATAAAATATATTACAAATATGTCTGTACAATTTTAATTTCAACTTCTACTCTTTACTATAAATTAAAATTATGTATAGAAAACTTATAAGAACACAGTAGGGATCCATACTGAATTAGACGCAATTCAAGAACTAATTCTAGTATTATTATGCACCTGATGATGACCCAATATAAGGGTTGAAACATGCAGCGTCAACAACCAATAAACAAATGTTGATACAGTAGTGTCTGTTTTGTTTTTTCGGAAATATTGTTGTGTAGACTGCCCCCACTGTACATATACATCACATATCCTATATAACAATAACAGTAATAATAGTCTAGAGGTAGTTTTTCAGCGAATGCTCACATAATGCGAAGCGACAACACTGTAATGCCAAATGATTAGTGCCATCTTCTGGTCGTATCATAAGTAATTAGGATTAGTTTTGCATTTTGTTTCTATGGAAATGACATACCGACAAACATTACTCTAAATTCATGTAATTATGTCTGCATGATCACTGCTCTGTTACCTGGCCAGCATACATTATCTGCATAGTTCAGGCATCAATATAAAAATATTGTCCACTGTGTGATTAATTCAAAATATGCAAGTTTAAAAACAATCTGTTTCATGTCACAAAATGTAAGACAAATCTGAGGAGGTGTAGGAGAGTGTACTGATGAAGACACTTGGCACCCACTAGAACTGTGAGCATTGGGTTGCATTGTTGGACATCAAGATGTGCAAAAGCCATACGCAGGACACTTCTCTCTCCTGCCCATGCTTTGTGTAGGAATTCCTGGCATAGCTGGATTTCTTGCGCTCACTTGTTAACAGCTCTGTGACCCTGTTTCTTGCATGTTGGAAAATAAAGCATTTGTCAGACTAATGAAGCCGCCATCTTCACTTTGTGACCAATCCTAAGTCATTCCAAAGTGATGTTTGTGTTATGTGATGACACTTGGTGTGAGCAGCTAGCCACTGGCTCCGGTTTGTAGCACTGTGCCCCCAGTCGCTTGCCAAGCTGTGGTGTGCTGGAAGTTTCTCTTAATTGCTGCTCTTGTAATGTGTATGGTTTTGTTAGAGTTGTGTATCATCTGTATGCAGTAAGTGGTGGCACTCCTGTTTCATATTCAGGAGGTCCTGGGTTTAAGTCAAGGCCCAGAAACGTGCTATCTGTTTCTCTTATTTTCCCAAACCCCTTCTAGGCCTTCCTGAGTGCTCCCCTGGATTGTCTTAGCCTTTCAAGGCAAGAGATGGAAAGTATTGTCACGTGTTTGATATGTCACGCGACAAATAACTTTACGTGGGTCTTGGATTTAGCGAATCTTTATTGGACACTCACACTTACACACCATACAATTGTTATCACTTGCAGTGTCACCTGACTTCTGGCCCAATATTAGATACGACGCCTCATCTATCCTTGGCCGTGGTTGGATCTCTTCTGTCCCTGGCAGCAGCTACCTGAAGACTGTCTTCTTGCTATCTTCTTCTATATCGTACGGTAACTTGGCGAATGCCTTCAACCCCTTTTTATAACCTCGGCCGCTGCTATGCAGTGAACCCTCGTTATGGCCGTGGAGACTCATCTCCAGGGAGATTTGGTGTTCTCCACACAACGGCTCACTGTTGGGATTACAATACCGCTATTGTTACTTCCTATGCAACGGTATGTTCTAGCGTTTGCATGGTAGTAACTCTTCTGGATTCCAAACATGTGACATTATGTTTAAGTAGGCCATAACTGCCCCCCTATGCTTCCAGGTTTTCCCTTCATAATCATCCTTCCAAAATTTTGGTCAGAAAACTTGTTTCAGAGACCTATCCATAAATGTGAGGATAATATTGTGATCCATCTTAAGAAAACAGGGTGAGAGGTTGTAAAATTGATTACACATTGAGTAGCATAGAATTCCTTGACCAGGCGAGTTGCTACTGACTTCTCAGGAAGGATCCTGTTTCATGGGGGCTTGTTCAGTTACTGTGGACCATACAGACTCTTGAGGATGGTTGCAGCTCGCATACGGTAGGCATCAGTCTTAGCAGTGTTGAATGCACAGAGAACTGGGTGGAATGTGGGGACAAGTTTATGCTGCTGTGCCTTTCTAACCATCTTCTGCAGCATGTAGCTCACAGAAACTTGGTCTGTGTGCAGCAGACATTTTCATAAAATAAAGATTTCAGTTTTCTGAGATGTGATGCTCCATGGTTTGGTACTCGGGTAACATTTGAGCACCTGCTGCCTCTCATCTTCAGGTTGTGCAAGTACCACAGCATGAAGACATGGGGAATGGAGGTGTAACTCCACCATTCTTAGCCTTAGCACCAGATGAGTGGGTGGTCAGCTTCATGTTCCGACTGCTTAACCCCCCAGCGAAACAGCGCCCAGTGTCTGGTGAAGAGAGCCTGGGTCAGCCCAAGGGCTAACCTGGATGTTATGGAGAAGAGAACTGCCTGTTCCTGCCACCAGAAATTGAACCCTAGTCCTTGTGCTGTGCCGACTGAGCTGTCTCAGGTAGAAGATAAAGTGTTAGTACCCCTGTACTAGTCCGTGTGGTATCACAACTTGTAGTGTCACATTTTCATAAATCAACTGATAGAATTGAAGGGGCATGGTGATCTTGCAGTAAGATATTGATACTGGAGTTCTGTGTGGGATCCCTGGTCTGATCTGCATTGCAGACCCTTCACCTTACAAGAGACGTAACTTCCAGAATATAAAGAACAGCAGGCTGTTCATGACCACTGTCATTAGGGCTCTCAGTCTGGATTATGGGTGCCTGGGAGAGCTATGGGCTGGACAACGTCGGAGTTTGAGTCCAGGTAGGGTCAAAAATTTCCTCTTCTCTGAATCATCCAGACCATGTCAGGGGCCCACCAAGCCTCCTATCCAGTGGGTACTGGGGGTAAAGCGGCCGGGGCGTGAAGCTCACTACTTACCTCCAACTATTGCCAGTGTCAAGAAAATGTGCCTCTATACATCCACTCCCCCCACCTTCATGGCATAGTGCTTAATTAGTTACTCACAGGGACAGCTTTACCTTTTTTACATTTTTGCACCCCAGACATGGATTCTGTGCCTTTGCTGAGATGGGCAGAAACCTGTAGGGTGTGCACAGACCATGTGTTCCCAGCACTGGCCACACATATTGAACATGCATAAAACAGGAGTCCAGTGGAGGAGCAGGGGAACTCTGCAGGCACACAGCGGCTGCAGATACAACAGTGGTGCTCCTCGTGATGTTGAAACAAAGCGACTGATAACGAGTTGCCTGTACATAATCTTGTGTTGAACTGCATCATCAGTTAAGCTACTCAGCCCTAAAATCTGTAAAAGCAACACACTTTTCCTATATACAAGGCCCCATATTCTTGCCAATAACACAATATGTATTTGGAAGTTGATCAGGTTGGGATGTCGCCTGTCATTATTGAGGTTCTTTGTTGTTTTCCTCAGCCCCTCCAGACAAATGCTGGGATAGTACCTTAACTGGGCCCTGAGTACTGCCTTTTGAATCCTTTTCATTTGATTGTTTGAACAATAATGCTATTGTTTGATGCCAAACAGTCTGAGATACTGACTGTCAAAATAAACTGCAAGAAAAAGAGACATCAGAGGTTTAGTTTTTGTTTTAATTAGTCATCATAGCGGAAAGATTTCTGTTCCCATTTTAGTTTTGCTGTTGTACTGGGCTGGTTCATGCTTCAGTGTGGGATGTTGCAGGCTGCCAGGCAGACTAGTCTGGTCTCCATGCCCCCAAGGATGTGTTGGTTTGATATGAGAAGTGGATGTCATCTCGTAGTGCCTGCAGAAGGTCTGGGTTCAGTGCTCAACCGAACCTTGAATGAAAGTAAACATTTGAATAGCCATCTCGCAGTGTTACCACATCACTAGCGAGGAACATGAAGTTCTGTTTGCTTTTCAGGCGGAGGCACTGTGAGGTCGACGGGTGATGGAGACACCAGCTCAGTTGTTTTGGACTCAGCAATGGGCACTGCCACAGGCTTGTATAGACATTAATGTGTTGCACTTCAGAGTCGCAGTGATTGTGGCTGCACAGCAGCAGTGAGAGAATTTGAAGAGTCTTCATCTGTTGGTGACACCGATAGACCAATGTGACTCCAAAATCAATAGACATTATCTAATTTGGATTAATTGTCTGAAGTTTCTTTGCCTATAGTTTTGAATTTGAAAGAAGTTACGATCGTATTAACCTGTTGGTAACACTGTGATTCAGAATCTGGTTTTCTAGGCAAGTGTTCTTCAGCATCAGACAAGTGGTATATGAGTTTATGTGGTAAGCACCACAGTTTTCTGTCTTCATTTGTTGGCAGCATATGAATGTGACTCAGCATGAAACTTTATAGTGAACCTTTGTTGAAGATGTGTACCAAATTTTGTGATAGTCCGCACATCAGTGCATTTGATACAGCATCTGTAGTCGATGGGCCTACAGCAGACTATTTGTGATTCACTTGCAATGTCCTATCTTCACATCTGCGGTTGGACAGGAAACCCTGAATTTGTTGTAATTTGAGGATAGGGATATGACATTTTTGGCTGACAGAACCTTTGATGCTTTTAAATGGCACATGACCTTTTCCATTCTTCTCTGTATGAACCCTTGTGTCTCTGTGCCCACTATTTCCTTGCTGTCTTTTTCATATCTCTCCCTCGCTTGGTGTCAGTATCTTTGCTTAGTCTTCCCATTGGTCATTTATTGATCGTTTGGAGATCATCAATGTGGGTTTCAACGTAACACATCAAGTACTGATGAGATCTTTTGCTTTTGTCAGATACTGGAGAAAAAAAAATTGGAGTACAGTGAGACAGTACATCAGCTATTCACAGACTTCAAGAAAGCCTCTGATTCAGTTAGGAGGGAAGTATTTATTGTACAATATTCTGATAGAGTTTGGTGTATGCATGAAACTAGTTAGGTTGATTAAAATATGTTTAAATGAAACTTATAGTAAAGTCCGTATAAGTAAACATTTGTCTGATAATTTTCCTATCCAGAATTGTCTGAAAAAAGGAGATGCTTTATCGCTACTGCTTTTCAACTTTGCTTTAGAATATGCAATTAGGAAGGTCCAGAGAAACCAGGTGGGACTGAAATTAAATGGGACACATCAGCTGTTGGCCTATGCTGTTGATGTGATTCTACTGGGTGATAATGTAGATACCATAAAGAAAAAAACAAAAACTTCAATTGACGCAAGTAAGGAGGTTGGTCTAGAAGTAAATACAGAGAAAACTAAGTATATGTTGCTTTCTTGTCACCAAAATGCAGGGCTAAACCGTGACATAAAGATAGGTAGCATGTTTTGAAAATTTGGCACAGTTCAGATATTTGGGAGTGACTATAACAAATGAAAATTTGATTCAGGAGGGAATTAAGAGGAGATGGAACTCAGGTAATGCTTGCTACCATTCAGTCCAGATCTTGTCTTTTGTCCAAAAACATAAAAATTAGAATATACAAAACTATAATTTTGCCTGTGGTTCTGTATGGGCGTGAAACTTGGTCTCTGACACTAAGGGAGGAACATAGACTGAGGGTGCTGAGGAGAATATTTGAACTGAAGAGAGATGAAGTGACAGGAGAGTGGAGAAAACTGCATAATGAGGCGCTTCATAACTTCTACTGTTCTTCAAGTATAATTAGAATGATCAAGTCAAGGAGGATGAGATGGGGAGGACATATAGCACGAATGGGGGAGCAGAAGAAGAATATTGCATATAGGATATTGGTGGAAAAGCCAGAAGGAAAGAGACCACTGGGATGACGAAGGCATAGGTGGGGGAACAATGTTAAAATTGATCTTGGAGAAATAGGATGGGGTGGTATGGACTGGATTGATCTGGCATAGGATAGAGACCAGTGAAGGGCTCTTGTGAACATGGTAATGAACCAGCGGGTTCCATAAAATGCTGAGAAATTCTTGAGCAGCTGCACAACTGGCAGCTTGACTGTATAGCTTGAAATTGTAGTAGATAGATGAGATCACAGACAAATTAAGGAACCATCTCAGCATTTCACCAGATGGACTGAGGAAAACGTGGAATAAAACTGTCATGATACTTGATGCCCAAGCCAAGATTTAAATTAAGCACCTCTCGAGTACAAGTACAGGGCGTTACTGCTACACCAGCGTGCTCAGTCATTTATGTGATATGAAGATCAGTGTTCATTGGGCTGCATACTTTATTTGAAATTGTGAGCCAGGTACTTATCACAAGATGCATCTCAGTGACTGAGTAACAACAAGCATGATTCATCTGTTTGCCATGTGTTATTGTTGCAATTAGTACTGTCATTTCCTATTCTTGAAATTGTGTTCTGCCCCCCTGGTATCAGAACTGCTTATATAAACATCCTGTTGTTCCTTCCTTTAGGGCGCACACCCGTCCATTTGTAGAATTGATGGTTGCTTCCATAGCAGTAGTTAGCTTTAAGAATCACTGAACCTGAAGTGATGGGGACCGAGGTCATGACATGGTTGCAACTGGTACCACCTGATGTATAAATGTGCACAGCTGTGATGGAATGTTGATTGGTAGGGGAAACTAAAGTACTTTCCACTTTGTCCACCACAAACCTGATCAAGAGATGTGGCATGAAGCATGCAGCACTCACTGATTCTGTTTCTCTTCTGTGAACTGAAGAGGTCAGCACTGTGCAGAGTAGACAGACAACAATGTTAGTGAAATTGTAAAGTTGGCTGGCAGTGTGTTATTCACATAAGGCAAGGTTTAATAAACTGATGTTATATTCATCTGATTCCTTAATTTGCATGTGCATATAGATAGACAAGCATGTGTGCACACGCAGTGTGTCTGAACGCAACATGGTCGTGGTATCAATGGGCCACTTGCTCACAGTATGTGCAGCAGAACCCAGCTTGTAAATGTTTCTGTGATCATTGCATTCCTCTTTGTGTAACGGAAATATGGCAACGTGCTGACACCACATGGCTCAAGACACTGCGCAGTTCTCACAGCCATATGTTGCATGCAGGGTAAGTGGACCAACCCCTAGCCCCCTCCCTGCAGAAAAAGAGCCCTGGACCACACGTAGGTTCCTAAACACTTTGCATATGCACACAGGCAGGGCTGTTCTGCAGAGAATTGGATTGAAATGGGTTCTCTTGGAAGTGTCACAGTCACTTGCTGGTTTAGGAATGCCTCAAGTCTTCGTTTGGTTTACAGATTTTCCAAATGAAAAGCGTACACATATTTGTCTTATTTCTCTGAATCGCTGATGGATCCGAATACTTGCAGCCCCCCCTTTCCGAAGGACTGGAATCTCATTCCCATGCTCCCTATAAGCTTCCTTCTGTGACACAGTGTTTACACTCTGTGGATTGCAGCAGGTGCTCGCAGTACACAGTCATTTAAATCTTGGAAATGTGTGAAAGTCACACCTCACAGCATTTAGCGTGCCGTCAGAATTCAAACTGACTACACACTGAAATTATCATTATCTTGTGTGAAGCAGGTGGCTAGCTGTCAGGACCACTTCAAGATGTCAGTAGCATGATGCTGACAACACACAGGCACTGCCTCTCGGTGTGTTGTTATTACAGCTTTTGGTTCCATGGTCCCAAGTTAGCAGTTGGTGGCAAGAAAGCAAAGAGCACTTCTTGGTAGACAGAACAGTGCTGCCCCCCCCCCCAACCATATGTGGACATATAGCATGAAAGGCAGTACAGTTTTGCTTGAAACACAAAGAAATAAGTTGGGAGACTTAAGCATATATGAGAGGTTAATATTAAAATGGATCACAGACAAACTGGCTGTGCAGATGTGTCAACTTGTTCAGTGGCAGGCTTCTGTGAACGCTGCAATGTTTCCTTAATGTGCTGTGCAGTTATAGACAGCCTACCTTCTGCTTTTCACTGTGCTGGACTGTTTCTTGTGATAGTGATCGGTCATAAGCGTATCTCAGAAACTGGCAATGCAGTTTGCCAAGTTTATCTCCTTGATTTCACAGTAATGACATGCTCCACCATCATGCCTCATGATATTATCAGATCCGTGTACACCCTTGTCGAGCCCTGTTTGACTCTCAGTCTGTGTCAGTTGTCACATTCATGTGACCCAAATGCTGGCATCGCTGATGTCAAACATGTCTGTATTATTTACCGTCTTCTGTAATTAATTTCTTGGAGGTCTCAGGTTCAATATTCAAGAGGCGAGCTATTACAGATGAGATTGAGCATTCCTTTCCTCAGTTCCTCCATCCAAATACTTGAACTGTGCCTACAAGGAGGCCACCGCAACACATCTTCCCCAACTAAACATTTGCAGTGATTTGCCATTTCATACAGAGTTGCCTGTGACATCTCTTCATACAGCCACTTGTTTTATAAATGTCTGTTTCCGTCTGTTTCCAGGAATGACTTTGTTGTTGGTTACTGCCCACAGGATGAAAACCACTGTTTGTTATTCTTGGATATAGGTTAGTCAGCATGTCCTTTACCAACATAAATAAAATTATTTGTGTAATTTTTTAAATGAAAAGACAGAGGCACTGCTTAGTAATGACCTGGAGGAATGTGTGATGATGTGTCATGCAAACTTGGGTGTTAAACTTTGTTATACCTTGAATAGCCCTTCTGTTCAAAGGGATCACCGGTATGGCGATCTTCGTTCCCATCATATCTTGAAAATGGAATGTAGTAACTTTCTAATGATGACATAGTGATGTGTGCCACTTTCTGATAATGTCTCATGCCCAAAGATGTTTTAGACACACACTGCTGGAAAATTACAGCTTTCACACCTCAACAGAAAAGTTACAGGCATTATATTAAGTGTGCTCCAAACTTCCATAGTCACCCACTTTCTACCTAAGTACTGTATTCAAGTAGTAACAAACCCAACATTTGCACAGCAAACACACAAATGCTTTAACTTTCTGTTCTCTGAACAGAGCCACAATTTCCCTGAAATGCCACCAGGATGTCCATACATTTAGTTATCTTACAGCAGAAGTGAATGTTATGTGTGTTCTTTTTGAATGGTCATTCTAAAGAATGCCTCTCTCTTTGCCTTCAGATCAGTAGCCTCAGATGCACATCTTGACCACCTAATCCACACAACACAAGGCTCATCAAGTGTCTTCCCAATGTTAAATTATCATATATGAAGATATGACATGGAAGTCAGACACCACAGTCACACGTTTTTAGCAGCAGCAATCCCCTTTTCTAGATTAAGGCAGTCGAGTACTGCGGCTCCTACAGAACTGCGACGAGTGAGCATAGATGTCACCAGTGTCCACCTGTTGAGTTTTGGGTCATAGCGCTCCACAGAGTTGAGCGAAGAACTGCCATCATTACCGCCAAGAGCGTACAGGCAGCCGTCAATCTCCACCACCTCATGTGTGGACCTGCATGAGATCAGAGATCCAAAAGTGGTGAACACTAAGATTGCAATAAACATGACAGTCCATCATCAGGTTGCAAAAATGGAAGCAGATCCAGTTTCCAAAACATGTTCAGGAAAACTCAAAGACAGTGGACAACGTCCATCATAATAGTAAGACACCGTCTGAACTTATTGAGGCTTGTAGTATTACCTTCTGGAATGCATGGCTGATATAGGCTCCCAGGCATTCCTTCTGATGTTGAACCTCTCCCCACTCGACATGCACATGGTCCCATCATTGCCCCCAATGCAGTACAGGGCACCATCTAAGGGGGCCACGCCACAGCTGCTGCGGCGACTGCTCATGGAGGGCACCGGGCACCACCTCCCCATCCGAGGGTCAAACCGCTCCACACTTGCCTGATAGTTGGTGGAGTCAAATCCACCAAGCGCATATACACAGTTCTCTGGGACAGTAAGCACATTCTGGTGGAAGGAACTGAGTTTGTTTGATTCATTGAGGGGAATGTTTGAAACTAGGGGAGAATAGGAGCCTGAAGAAAACCTTCATGATCTGTACTCTTTGCCTGGTAATCAAGGAGTATGAAATGGGTAGGAAAAGTAGCATGCATGGTGGAGATAAGTGCATGCAGATTTTGGTTGCAGGGTGGGGGCTCGATTCACATGACTCAGGGACCGGCAGAAGGCTTTTGTAAATACAGTGATGAACCGCTGGATTCCATGAAAGGTTGGTTACATCTTATTTAACTAAGCAACCGTCAGCTCATTGGAGACCAGTGCTAGTCCACTTAACGTGTGTATGTAATACATGTCCTTTTATTCCCCCCTCCCCTTTTTCCATTTAGAGCCTTTGCACATATTTGTGCTACGTGTTCTGTAGATCAAATTGTACCCTTCAGTGGCCCACCCATCCTGACAGTGCTCATGATTTTCCTCAGTCCCTGTAGGCAGAAGCAGTTGCTTACCAACGACAGCGATGCGACAGTAACGTCTGCGTGTGGTCATGGCAGGGCACGAGGTCCAGACCCCTGTCAGCGGGTCATAGCGCTCCATGCTGCTGAGGCATGAGGCCCCGTCATAGCCGCCACATGCATACAGCAGCCCGTCGAAGCTACAGGTGCCCAGACAGCTGCGCTTGGTGCCCATCGGGGTGATGGCAGTCCACTTGTTCAGCATTGGGTTGTAGCTCTCGGCGGAGGCCAGGTCGGAAGCGCCATCATACCTGCTTATCAACACGTGAAAGTTAGCTTCGCGCTTCGGTCGCCTTATCTCCACGGACGGAGTGACCCGGGCTGGTCCCGTTTCAGCCACGTTCTTTTTACTCTTTTAAATATTGTGGCATACTTGCTCCAAGAAAGAACGGTTGAGCCACATAAACATTAATTTCTAAGTAATACATGCACGCAACAATTGAACAATGGGCTTATGCAACCCGCTTCTAGGCAACGACTCGGTAAACACACTTCCGCGTAGGCGCAATGACGTCACCACAACAGTGCTTAGCTATCACGTGACTTGTGTTTTCTGTGTGCAACAGTAGAAATGTGTCTTCTGCGTTGTCCATGCCGCGGCTATATAGCACTAGTCTGCTTGCAGCTAAGAAGAGTTCTAAGTTGAGTTCCAAGGTTCCAGAGTTATTGAAGACGAACTGACAAGAAGACTATATAGCGATTTGAAGTGATAGTTTCTGTGTTAAGATCCGTTACCAGAAGATGACTAGCGTTTGTGTAACAGTGAATTACGTATATAAAGTGTCAATCAGCAACAGCGCTGTACTGATTGCAATTAAGAGAAATTGTAACTGAACTGCTAATAAATCCAATCATCCGAACTAGACCCCGTTATTTTCGTCACGCGTACCCCCCCCCCCTACACGTGACAGTACTAATGTAATGTACGTTTAAAATCCAACGGAAAGTGTGCACTGACTTTAAAATCCCGTCATCTGGTCGCCACATTTTAACGAATGCGCAGGTTTATTATTATTATTATTTTAATACAACTGGGAAAATAATTCCTTTCGCATCTGCGACCCTCAACCAGGCGCCGGGATAGCTCAGTAACGACTGTGTCACGTACAGGACGACCGGAAAGTCGGGGTTAAGATTCCTGATAGAGGCAGATTTTCTCTCCTCCACAGCGTCCAGACCAGCTCTGGAGCCCACCCCGCCTTCTAGCCAATGGGTGTGCGGGCACTTGCCCTACAGTCAAAGCGGCCGGGACGTGATGCTCACCATTTACTTTTATTTGGTGCCGAAATGAAGATTGCGTGGAGCTGCACCCCTCTCCCCCATACAAGGTCCGCGTCCTCTGTGAACCTCAGATCAAGAAAACATGAAAGTAGTGTTCCCCTCACCCTCCCACCACATAAAGGAGCTTGCCGAGGCTGGTGACTCCACTGCGACTGCGCCGATACACCATGGAAGCGATGGGCACCCAGCGGTCCGTCTGTGGGCTGTAGCACTCACACTCGCTGTGGATCGCGAACAGTGACCCGCCACCTGCAACCAATCACAATAGCCGTTGCTAGGGAACAGATCTAGAGGAACATTGTTTTCACGGCAACGACAGAACACGCAATAATGGAAGAGATGTTCTCTGTGCGGTCCGCGCTGGTGCTATATACCGAGGAGTAGTAGGTCAGCTGTCACGCGTTCGAGTGACTATAGATGGGGTTTGGATTGATAATCTGAGATACTGGACGCTTCAGCACATCTCGTGACTACACTGTCACACACACACACACACACACAGAGACTGGTGTTCTCAGATCACGGTCTTCATTGCACTGTTTGGTAACGTCTTCCAATAGTGGACGTTCCTCTGCTCACGTCCTCGCAGGCTGGCGACGATCTCACGCCAACCTCATGCTCCGTCCGTTGGCTTCAGCTGGGAGCTCTCGGGCCGATCTAACTGCCGACCCTCCTGACAGTTAGCTTCTGTCTTGTCTTGGTGGGTCGGTCCGGGAGAAGAAAGCACTCAGTTATTGGTCTCTAGCTTAGCTTCTAGCCTTCCCTGGTTGGTTTTTATTAGTTTTCATTTCGGCATGATGGCTATCATCCAGAGGAAGGGGAACGTCTGCTGTTGGAAGCCGCTACCAAGCAACGGCTTGTGAAGCCTGAGAAGACTTTGTATGTGCTGTAGTTACACCTTTGGAGTGTGTAACTCAGTGAGACTGTCGTAGTTTTTCGCAGTTACGTCCGGTAAGTGTTCAGTAAATCCGATTACCAATCCAGCCCCGTTTATAGCCACTCTACCATGTGACAGTGTTTCAGTTCCACGTACCCACAGCAAACAGATAGGGCTGCATTCCTTCGGCGCGCCGCTCCACTGTGCGCTCATTGGCTAGTGCTGACCTCTGCTCGGGAAGCAGGTGGTACTTCATGGCCTCCAGTAACAGTTCCTTACACTCCGTGTTCCCGCGGATCAGCGGCTCCGAGTCCACGAAGCCCATGAGGAAGTCGCGGGCCATCAACGGTAGGCGGACGTGGTGCATGAGCTGCACAGACAGGCAGACAGGCGTTAGGGCCGAATTCGGGCCGTGGGTTGTGACTGTGCTGAATACAGAGCTAGTACCTGGGCCACGTACTGCTCTCTGCCGGCCAGGTCGTGCTTCGTCCAGCTCATGACGGCGGTAAATACTTTCTCCTCGGACGCGATGTTCAGCTGACTGTTGCAGATCAGCTCCTCCACCTGCAACACAAGGGATTGGCACAAAGTGGCTCGAGTGCCGACTGTTGAGAAACTAATGCCGCCTTGACTCTGAAGAGCACTTAGCTTCTGGGATGTCACGCCGTGTAGTCTGGTAGAAGTTTACCGGCGTTTCGGAGAACCATACTGTGTGCACATTCTTCAAGGCCTACATCAGAATCTGTTTTATTACAGCTCACTTCGCTTGCTTCCTGCTCGTTACCATCCTGGCTTACATTTCGACCCTGAAGTTGGAGCCAGTGTGGTCCTTCGAAACGTCGGTGAACTTCCACCAGGCAACACGGCATCACATACCAGGCGATAGTGTTCTTGGAGGTCACGGTCTCAAGAAATTCGCGCTTTCTACGGAACCCGAAAGTTCATTACCGTGTTCACAAGAGCCCGTCAGAGCCGGAGTGAAGGGAGGAGGCAGCGCGTGTTGCCCGAGTTTCATCTGCTCTTCATTTCTTCGTGAATGCGGTATGAGCTGTTACTGCCGCTGGGCGTGAAGCTGACAACTCCACTCCCCCGTACGCCTTCAAGCACAGGGACGGGACGTGAACCTGGAGCTTGAAACGCGTCAGTGTTGCCAACATATACACTGCTGAAGCGAAACGAGACCCTCCACACATTTGATTGTAGTTTGTTTAACGACGTTTTCAATATCTTACATCCTATACCGTTGAATGATACGAACAACGAACTGGAAGGGATTTGGAAGGAAGAGGTCGTGGAACCGGCCCAGCCCTCGGGTTCAGCATGTGTCAGGGCTGCTATCGATCTGTGATCGTGTTGTCCTCTACATATCGTGTCAAATGTCTTGTCTCGTGCGGAGGGGCGCTCCAGTCGCCACAGCACTCCTGCCTGCAGACTGTCCATCATATCGCTACAGTTCGTCTGAGTCCACTCGGTAAGTCGGCCACTACTGGCCTATTGTAGACAGATGAGTGGGCGTGGATCAGTCGGTGGAATGAGAATTGGCAGGGGTAACCGAAGTACTCGGAGAGAACCTGCAACTTTGCCCACCGCAAATGCCACACGACCTCACCCGGGCTCGAACCCGGGTTGCCGCGGAGGGAAGCCGGCGACTAACTGCCTGAGATATGGCACGGCCTTGTTGCTGCAGTTACTTTACGACAGCTGAGAAAATACGCAATTTTATAAAATTTATATGATATTTGGTGATCGGTCGGTTCGTGTAGTGACTAGGCAACGGCCTGGACGACTAAGGAATCTGGGTTCAAATCTCGGCAGGACAAGGGATTTTTGTGTTTGCCACAGGGTCCAGACTGGCTCTGGTACCCACGCCGGAGGTAAAGTGGCTGGGGCGTGAATCTCTGATCAGTCACCGCCATCTAGTGCTGCAGTTAAGAATGCTGCCTAATCAAGCACGGCGAAAACTTTACCCTCGTGAATTTCGCGTTGTCTCCGTCTGTCCCCTCTGTCACGTTTAAATTTGTGACTGAACGGGAGGTGGGAACCGAACGAAGGTTGGGGGGTGGGGGCTCGGTTGCTGCACCCCATGGACAGTCCACAGACATCTGTCAGTTGAGAGTTTGAGTTATGAGAAGTGAGAAGCTGGTAGCCGAAGCCGTGGACAGTTCAGGAACCCAGAGGAAGGGGAACGTCCGCCGTTGGAAGCCGCTCCCAAGCAACGGCCAGTGACGACTGAGAAGACTTTACGTTTGCTGTAGTTACCGTGACTTTGGAGTGTGTACCTCAGGGAGACTGTTGCAGTTTTTTTAGTTACGTCCTGTAAGTGTTCAATAAATCCGACTACAAATCCAAACCCCGTCTATAGTCACTCAGTCACGTGATAGGACGCACCGGTCGTCGCGAACCCCTGCCTCTGGATCCGAGAAGATTCAGAATCGCTGCTCTGCAGAACAGAGTACAAAACAACGCACCCCTCTGTCCCTCGGTCTGCACGGCAAACTTTGTGACCGGGCCGCGAATCACAGCGATCTCTCCCTCAGGCCACCCCTGCCTCTCGTAGCTGCCTCTCAAATCTCACTCCTTATTCCGCAACTTCCTTCTTCCTGCCGTCGCGACGACAAACAGACGCAGTGACCTGTCACCTATCGGCGCCGTCGGGGCACCAAGCGCCTCATAAGCCGCCGCCGTCTTGCTCGTAACCCTGTCTTGTTAACAGGAAACCGGCGCGCGATATGTTAGGGTTCCGACGGACCGGTCTGTTCTGCTGCCATCCGGGACTGGGACAGTGGCGACATTTATCCAACTCAAGCGGTAATGTTTCCGACTTGTATTCGAGAAGTGCGTGGTTCCAATCTCGACCGGAATACCGGCAATTCAAACTGAAATTTCTTCGTGGCCTTGGCAGTTGCCCGGATATCACCTCAAATTGGCCACGGCCGCTCCCTTGCAGAGCCTTCCAATTCACTGTTCACCAATAATCGCACTGTTCGATGCTACACGCGTACAGCGCGCCTAACAAACCATACACCCGTATGTTCTACATGCCCCGCCCATCTCAACTGCCAGTCTGTGCTGTCAGTAGACACGTGGCGCCCCTGACAGGATGGGTGGCAGCAGACTGGCCAACAGAGTTTGCGCTTACCTCGCTGAACGGAAGCAGGAGAAACTCCTCTGTGCCCATTACTTCCTGGAAGTTCTGCAGGGCGAACCGATGTGACCGTCGGTGTAGCTCCTTGCACGCATGCGCATCTGCAACCAAGCGTCGACATGTGAGATGTGAGGCGAATATAGAGACGGCTGTCTGCTGGGATGTGGCGCCGTTGCTCGATATCTAAACTCTCGTTTTCCTGCAAGTCTTACTCTTCTACTCTGAGGATGGAGGCAGCAGGTTTCTCCGAAACGCCGGTAAATTTCTGCCAGACTGCACGGCGTCACATCCCGAAACATAACAATCTTTTACTCAGTTTCCCCCCGCAACCTCACTCACGGTACCGTTGCTAGGATACGCTGTAATTATACAGTGTGTGTGAGTTTTACTGCTATGCGACCCTACCCGGAAGTAAGTGGCAAGCTGTCGGTGTATCTGCAAACATGCGACACTTCCTGGGAACGCCAGGCGCTGTGTGTTTGTTTTATTACAACTAACTTCATGGAACTGAGCTCTTGTGAAAGGGTCGCCAGTAGTGCGCCTATTCAAGAACTTCCCAGCAATTTATGGAACCAGAAGGTTCATTACCATATTCACAACATCCCTCCACTGGTCCCTATCCTGAGCCAGATCAAACCAGTCCACACTACCCCATCCTGTTTCTCTAAGATCCATTTTAATATTACCCACCCACCTACGTCTTGGTCTTCTTAGCGGCCTCTTTCCCTCTGGCTTTCCAACCAATATACTATATGCATTCCTTTTTGCTCCCTTCGTGCTCCATGCCCTTCCCATCTCATCCTCATTGACTTGGTCATTCTAATTATACTTGGAGAGGAGTACAAGTTACGAAGCTCGCAATTTCTATTATTACTGTTACTGCTGTATTTACGATAAGATTACACAAACCCGTTGAGCCGGCTGCGTCACACCATGACGTGGTGTTATTGTTACTTTGTATTCAGGAGGTCCCCGCTTCGGGGACGGCCCTGAAATATTTTCGTGCGTTTCTTAATCCTTCTCGGGAATTTCAAGGCGACGTCAGATTGCTCCCCCACTCCATCACTTCCAGTGGATCTGGTGCAGCATCGTCACACGACAAATTGTCGTGAGACTAGCTCAGTTCAGAGTTGAGGCGCATCCCTTGTGCGCAGCTCGGCAACTCGACGTCGGAAGGAGAAATGTTGAGTGCTCCAGCATACACACCCTTGTTAGGATGGTTATATACTGAGAGGTCGTGGCCCATTTACACGTATGCGTACTATCCTTGAAAAACTGGTGCAAAGAAATCGTCTGTCAGAATAGCAGCCCGCTATGCTAACCTGGTGGGCGGGATAATATTAAAATGAATTGACTGTGGATCTGAGTACTGGATTCAAGTGACTGTGCTGCTACCTGTAGAAGAGACAGCGGTGTTTCCTTTCCGGTCGGTGCCAGGCGCGACAGTACCATCCACGGGACATATTGTGGCGTATTTGCTGAAAGCAAGAACTGTGTAGCCAGAGAAACAGCCGTTGCCAGGTAATTCCCGCACCCAACAATAGAGAAATTGTCACGGTTCGAGATATGCCCGTACAGCCTCTGTTATGGAACGATTGAGTAAGCGCGGTCCGTGCCGATAGGGTTATAGAAAGGGCAAAGAAGATCAGTTGAGTCTGGAGACGCCAGCCAGCTTGGGAGCGGAGGAACTGAGGCATCAGAATTACTGAGTGGAGCTGAAAGTCTGGCTGTGAAGAGAAGACTTTGTGTATGCTATATAGTACCGCGTTATTTGGAGCGTGTAACTCAGTGAGACTGTTATAGTTCCTGTGTTAAAATCCGTTGCCAAGAAACGGATAGTGGAGACTGTAATAGACTGGGGACACTACCACGTAGTGTTTGCAGCAGTGAACTGGAAAGTGTGAGATTAGCGGTAGCGCCTTCATTGCCTGTAGTTCCGAGTTGTGTGTGTAAGGTTTCAATAAATCCAATCAATCAATCCCCCGTATAATGGTCACCCGTACACGTGACAATATAATAAGGAGTCAAATCGAAAGGATCCGGGTGTCGTTTACACACACGTTCAAATTTCTCGGAGCAATTCCTCGCACTGTAAATGGAAGGGGCCTCCAAGTCCCCCACGGCCCCGCCCTCCTGTACCTGCAAAGCTCCGGATGCCGAGACAGTTGGAGGGATGGAGCTGTCTCATGAGGAACTTGCAGCAAGCCTCACGCACCGAGCTCATCTGCAGAAGGCTCGAGGCAGACAGCAGCACCTGCAACAGTGACGTACGTACGTACATGTTTGCTTAGCAACATTACAACTGAAACGTACAGATCCCTGTGCATGCCACGCACGCTTCTGTCATTAGTGAACATTTTATGAAGTTCAAACTTGAAAAACCGTCCTGATATTCTTCAGTGTTCCATCTGTTTCAGTAGCAGTCCTCTTTCAGATGTACTCTTCAGTATCACAAGCTGAAGATCGGAGTGACATTTCAGAGAGAGTGAGTAATTCGAGCAGGTTACGATAGGCTGATCATGTAGTGCGCAATGGGAAAATACATGTCTTACATCATTATTATTTTGCTGAAAAAATAAAATAGATGTAAACGTGTTAGTGAGCCTGAAACTAGCACAACCTTCATACCTGCACGTTGTCCTCGGTGATGAGGATCTCGCCCGTGTATGAGTAGTCCACCAGCTGCTGCAGCGCCGCGGCGTCCACGTCGTGCAGCGTCACTTCCTCTTGCAGTTTCTCCACCAAATCGTCTGCGAGAGTTCCAAAGGATCAGGCAAAATCGCTCTTAAAACGTCCGCACACACAGCAAAACATTTCGTTTGATCGCCACGTTGTTCTAGCCATAACGTCTGAAAGCTCCGTACTGAATGTTGCTCCCCCGTCTTTATATTACTGAAACTGACTTCATGGACCTGAGCCCTTTTTGAGAAGCCGGCCGCCAATTGTGCAGCTACTCAAGAACTCCCCAGCAATTTATGGAACCCGAAGGTTCGTTGCCCTGTTCACAAGAGCCCTCCACTGGTCCCTATCCTGAGCCCTATCGATCCGGTCCATACCACCCCATCCTCTCTCTGTATGGTCCATTTTAATATTATCCACCTACCTACGTCTTGGCCTTCCTAGTGGTCTCTTCTGACTTTCCCACCAATACCCTACATGCATTCTTCTTCTCCCTTATTCGTGCTACATGCCGTGCCAATCTTATGCTTCTTGACTTTCATACTGATAACAGAATCTTTAAAATTAATGGGGTGGGGAGTTCCAATGTAAATCGTGTAGTTAGTGTCGATAATGTTGCTCTCTGCCGCTGTGCTAGAGGTGACGGGCGGTGTGGACCAAGTCACAGCGGTACAACCATCCTGCAGAGAGTACAGACTGACCAGACGTTCTGATGTGTGTCGAGAGCAGGCAGGCAGATCTCCCGCCGCCGTACGTGTGTGCACGGGACCCAGTAACCGTCTGATGTAATATGATCTGTACATCTGACATCTGTTGGAGGAGAACAAGATGTCCGGACGGTTGGTTACGAAGTTACGAGCCGTCCACGGCGCGGAGGCCAGTAAAACTCAGTGACCTGACAACAAAATAATGAAGTCCCTCTTTCTGTGTTGGTAGCAGTGTTCCCGTCTCAGGACTGCGACACTTGGTGTCCCACCCTGAGGGTCCTGAGGGCAATGTTTGAACCCACGATGAAGGAAGCGACTGGAGGCTGGAGAAAACTGCACGATGAGTTGCTTCGTGATCGGCATTCTTCGCCAGAGATTGCTGAAGTGATCAAACCAAGGATAATTCGATCAGTGGGACATGTAGCACGAATGGGGAAACGGGAGGCGCATATATATTTTAGTTGGGAAATTTAAAAGAAGAGACCAGCTGTTATATCTGGGTGTAGATGGGAGGCCCTAAAATTGATTTAAATACTTTGGGTATGAAAGTGTGGACTGCGTTTGGTCAAATGGGCTTTGAGCATGATTTTGAACTTCCGAGCTCCATAAAATGGACAATGAGCAATGCGGACGCGAACTCAGCAGTTCAGCACGAGCCTCTGGGTGGCTTGATGCGTGTTCACAGAACCTACCGTTAAACATGGCATAGAAGTAAGGGCTCACCGACGCGAGCACCACCCTGTGGGCGTGAATGGTATCAGCCCCTATCTTGAGCACCACGTCACACAGCTGAAACAGAAGAAACATGCTGGGTTCAGCACTCGCGGTTCGCAACTGACAGCAGCACACGGTGTTTAATTACGTACTGGTTCCATTCTCGCTTCACTTAACAACGCTGTGAGTAGCTACGATTACATAAAAGGTAAAAAGGATAAAGCTTTCCCTGTAACAGGCCGTGGAGGCCCACAGGTTTGTGAGACGTCGAGGCTCTCACATGTTAGCCTTAGGCGCCGAGCGGCCGCCCTTTGCCCCCAGGAAGACTTCTGATACTCATTTCTGCTAGAGGCTGAGTCGACCCCAGGGCCATAGTGCGGCTGAAAAAATTAGGTCAATTGAAAGATCTGATCAGGAATGGAACCCGCAACTTTCCTGCCTGTATCATAGTGCCTCAATCAACTCCGTTAGAGCGTGCTCCCAAGGTGTGACTTTTTCAGGAAGGCCCTCATAGTACATATTCATATGAAATTCTTTACTTATTTTGACGCGAAGAGACCACCCGGTAGAGTTTGATTCCTCCATAAGAAAAGCAGTGGGACTCTGACCGTGCTATGGCCGAACTGTGGAGTGGTGTAATTTGATTTACATTTATTCTAGTGCAACTCATTCGTGTCTTCAGTTTTATGTTCGTGAAACTGCAAAGACAGCGAGGTCACTTTACTGCGGGAATGCAGTTCTGTAGGTGACGTGGGTTCGAGTTCGAGAACCTGCAGCTGTTCCTCAACTTGCAGTGCAGATTTGTCTGAACCGCTAGCTTCAATTAAACGATATAAAACATTAACTCGGTATGAATAGAAGCTCAGTCAGTATAGTGACTTCCCTACGAGCTGAAGGATTGAGGAATCGAGGTTCGAATCCCGGCAGGGTGAAGAGATTTGTCTCGTAGTCTGCAGCATGCAGACCAGCTCTGGCGCCCATCCAGCCTCCTATCGAACGGGTACCGGGGGTAAAGCGACCGGGGCGTGAAGCTGGCCCCTGACCTGCATCTAGTGCCAAGGTTAGGGGCGGTGGAGTTGTACCTCCCACTTCTGCATGCGGCCGTAACTCGAAGGTCCACGACAAGCTTTTCGACTTATTGCTGTCGGCTCATACTTCCGAGAGCCAAGCGCGAAAGTGGCGGTCGCAGCTGAACTGAGGCACCAGTGAAGTAGAAGGTCGCGAGTTCGTAGCCGGACACATGAATGTAGTTCAGAGAAGAACGACTGTCATTATGGACCAGAGTTCCCCGCCAGAGACCGTACAGTGGAGCGAGACCAAGTTGTCGTGTGAGCTGGGGCCGGGGTTCAAACCTACTGCCACCCAAATCGCAGGCTGACTGGACTGGCCACAACAGGCGCCGACAAGGGCGGAGAGGGGACAGTCACAAACTTACGTTTCAACCGTTCGAGATACCTGCTCATGGTAGGCGAACCGTAAAACAAAAATACTTAGTGTTTGGTATATTCTCTTTTTTTCCAAGTTTAATTTTTTCTCCAAATATCCGGGGAGGGGGCTTCCTGACGCCCATGGGATCAGACGTAACCTCTCGAATATGTCTGACCTTTCGCCGAGTCCCCAGGGAGGCGCTGACATCTGGCGGACTAATGAGGCTGCAAACCTCTCCCTCCCACTCTTACGCTCCGGGCCGGGCGAGGCTCCCCTGCGACTAAGGCTCACACTGAATAGAACTGTACATTGTGTTCTACAGGAAGGTGATGGGCTGGCCATACAGCACCTGTGTGTTCTGACGCATCTTGTGGATGGCAGCGAATGACGCGGCGTAGTGTTCCGGGCTCTGGTGGAAGTAACGCGACACCGGCTCTCCATTGGGCGGAGGGGTCACTGGGGAGCCCACCGGCAGCATGGGGGCAGCCGTCGCGATGTCCACCCCACCGCTCATATCGCCTGCAACAAGCAACAGCACAGTCTCCTCAAATGGTGGGCTCACTGATGAATGCTGAGCGGGAAGGAAGCGGTCGTGACCTGTTCCAGTAGAGTCCTGATACGTGCATGGAAGGACTGCGAAAATCACGAAAGATCTTCAGTCAAGATAGCTGTGACCCGAGCGAGATTCGAATCGAGGACTTTCCGAATACGAGGTAGAGGTTACCGCCACGCCCACCCGCTCGATTAGGAGGTCAGGTCAGATCACGTCCGTCTGTCCGTCCATCTGGCTCTCTGCTTGCTATGACATGCAGTGGGCCCCTAAACTGCCGGGTAGGTTCCAATACAGTTCAACTTAGGGGACTTCCAGCCATAATTGCACTTCAGTCTTGTACAAACTGCGTGATGATGTGAGATGTGACGCGGTCTAGTCCGGTAAGAGTTGAGCGACGTTTCAGAGGAATGCTCCTGTGCGAGCGCCACCTTCCCGATCTCGTTGCTCCATTCCCCAGTCGAATTCATATGCCGACGCCTGGGTTTGGGCTATGCATTGTTTTCTGGATAGATTTCAGCATGACCCACCTATCAGACTACACGGTGCCACACATGCTTTCAAATATCACGGCTACGCGAGCGTGTCCCATGGGCCCACAGTGGTAACTATATGCACCGCGTGGTTTAACATTAAAAACTGTGCATTCTGCCCACGCAGTGTATCTGTGTGTTCCATATGGTTCTCACAGTAAACAGCGACTGTTTCCCCAAACAGCATTAACCGGCTGGGCTCTGTAGCGGAGACGTAATGTGTTTCCTGTGAGGTACGGACTGAATTCTTAAATACTAAGCTCCAAATGGCAGAGGCAAAATAGGAGGCCTGAACTCGGCAGCGGTCGAGCCTACGGCCTTACAGCAGAAGCTACGTAGGGCAAGTGACAACCCGCTATGCCGAGCCTGGAATGACAGGTATGCGCGCTCAGTGCCTACTCGTACACGAGGATCAGCCGTGCATGATGCATGTAAAACGTAAATACGAGGAAAGCAGTTTGCTGTGTAGAGACTACATTCTACGACTCAGAATTCTGACAAAGATCAGCGCCGGTACAATGGCCACAAACACTGAAGTGTCTAGGGGTTCGACACCAAGGCAGACAGACTGACCATGAGTTGCAGCGTGACTTGAACATCACAGACGGCAGACTGTCACATTACGATTTTATGGGGGGAGCACATATTCATATGCCACTGTTGCGCGCTTTGTTCCGTCCGCCCTACATCCTGTATCGATTTCGGCGAGAACGTACAGTGCAAAGTGTGATAAAGATGGTGACGGGGGAGAATGAAGCTCCTGTGTGCGTTGCCGACAGGGACGCTGGGGCACAGTCTACACGCCTGGCAGCTCTCGCTAAGACACTGGCTGCACAGCCAGGCTATTAGTGATTATTTGTTGTTTGTTTAGCGACGATTATATGACGCAGCGCTGTTGCAGACCAACATTCTAGAACAGAATGAATTGACAGGCTGTGAATGGAATCTATCGTGGTCTAATTTAAGGTACTATCCCAGCATCTGTCTAGATCAGCGTTGGCCAACCTAATACATCTCGAGGGCCAAATTTAGTTTATAGAACACCATCAGGGGCCAGATACGGTGTTTCTTTCAGAAGAGTGGTCGGGGAGTATTGCACCCCAAACTGAATCAGTCACAACCCGTATAAAAACAGTGCATTTAAACCTATGTATTTAAATTTTACGTTGCACCAATAATATTAAGCCGATATTGAAAATTTCACCAATCGATTTTATTGCCTTCTATCACTTCAACCCCCAGAGCATTTTTTCTTAAAGAAACACTGGCCAGATCATGTCTTATGTTTAGTTTTATATATGCCGGGGGAAAATGCAATTATAATTTAAGAAAGAAAAATAAAATGCCTTGAAATGTGCAATTACTTACCACAAAACAGCACAAATTCCTCTTTCAGCAGGGATGAGCACAAAAGACTTTCAATCATAGTTTTTATGGTCTAATGATTATACCTAAATCCTCATATACACACTGTTTTAATGAGAGCACTGTGGTTTCATAAAACTGGAAACCAATGATATAAAATCCACTTCTAATTGTGAGGTTGCCACTCGAAGAATATGTGATAACACGACATCTGAAAGTCTGTTCCTGTTCTTAGACTTTACATGCTTCAGCGATGAAAACGCTGTCTCGCATATGTAAGTACTTGCAAAAACAGAGCAAAGTTTGAGAGCCCAATTTCGTAACAGTGGGTAACGTTCTGGTGAAAGCAGTTTCCAAAAGTCAATTCCAGTAACCTGAGATGTGTTTAAGGATGGGTCACATTGAAGTTCACAAAGCTCTAATTGCAGATGACCTGGCTGAGATTCTATATCACAATGTATAGGATTACTGAATAAAGAAATATCAGGTCGAAAGCTTTCAAAATCGTTAAATCGTCGGTCGAACTCTGAAGACAAATCTTCAATAATTTCAGTGTAGTCCCTAAACTCCAAGCCTTCTTCTTCTTCTGAGAGTTTCCGACAGCAAGGGAAATGTAGAAGGTTATTTTTGTCCAATGCAGACTTAAATAAATGTAGCTTTTTACGGAAACTGTCAACAAAGCCAACCATCTGACATATTGTCTGCTTCTTGCCTTGCAATTGCAGATTCAGGACATTCAAGTGTTGAGTGATATCAGTGAGAAAGGCCAAGTTTCTCAAGAATTCGACGTCTTCGAGATCATTCTGCAGTTCAGCAGAATTCGTAACCTCTTCTCTTAGGAATGTTGCTATTTCATGACGGAGTTCAAAGAACCGTACCAGACATTTCCCACGGCTTAACCATCTTACTTCAGTGTGCAGAAGCAGGTCCCCGTAAGCAGAATCCATTTCTTCCAAGAGGGTCAGAAATTTTCTGTGAGTGAGTGATCGATTTCCTCCTCTGATCAAATTAGTAATTTTTGTGACAGTAGCCATGGTGGTAGACAGTTTAATTGATTTGGCACATAGAGCCTCCTGATGTATAATACAATGCAAGGTAGGTACAGTAATTTGATTCTGTCTTAAAAATCCAACAAAACCGCTTATTGTCCCTGTCATTGATTTAGCGCCATCTGTTACTATGGAGGACAATTTTTCAAAACCACCGAATTCCTCCACTGCACTCTTAACAGCGTTAAAAATATCGACACCTCTAGTTGTGCTGTGTAAAGAGCACACTTTTAACAACTCTTCGAAAATTGTAAAATCTTCCTTAATTGCACGAACAAATATCAGCAACTGATTAGTATCCGAAACATCTGTGCTTTCGTCGAGAGCAATTGAGAAATAGGAACAATTAGCGATAATGTCTTTCACATTATTAGATATCTGGTTGCTAATATCTTCCAGCCTCCTAGTAACAGTCTGTTTTGAAAGGGGCACTGTTTGAAATTTGTTTCCTACCTTATTTTCATTGAAAGCTTCTGCCATCTTTATCGCACAGTTCTTAATTAATTCACCATCACTTAACGCTTTTTTAGCTTTCATTAATTCATATGTCACGAAATAAGAAGCCAGCAAAGCTTCTTCTTGTTGTTTTGTTTCATTGGTAAAAAGAGATTTCTGCTGGAAAAGTTTTTTCTTTAACTGATCGCAGACTACTTTCCTTGATTCACAAGAGTGTTTTCCGAACTTCTGTTTATGATTTGTCATGTAATGCCTCTTTAGGTTGTACTCCTTTAAAACTGCTAGCACTTGAAAACATACTAAACACTGTGGCTTGTGGTCTTTATTTAATATAAAAAAATAGTCATGTTCCCACTCAGATTTGAACGCCCTATTTTCGCTATCAACTTTTCTCAATTTACTATTTGACATGCTGTATCACTCACAATAACTTCAAACACAATTTTAATTTAAAAACAGTTCTACACTCACACTCCGTAATCACACTTCACTTTCTAAAATCGCACTAACTGGGAGACATTTCTGCTAAAACTGGCACTTAACAAAGGCCAGGATGCCGAGAGAAACGGTAAACATCCCATCGCCGCGAGCAAGCTGGGAATGGTTATTATTTTGAAGGTGTCATAAATCCTTCACCACTACGGTCTTCCCTTCAGTGTCATCTCCCTACAGAAGTAGGGTTGGGGAACTTTGAATTTCCATGACATGAACACAGTTATTAGAAAACCGTTTGAACTGTCCAACTCAGTAAGAACGTATACAGTCAATTGCAAAATGCTGTAAGCTAATGAAACGTCCTATTAAAAACTGAATTCTATGCCAATACAGCTGTGAAGTTAAGATTTTTGAAAATAAACCTGAGACTTGGCAGGGGGCCGGAGTAAATCAAGTCGCGGGCCGGATACGGCCCGCGGGCCGCCAGTTGGCCATCGCTGGTCTAGATGGACCAAGCAAGGCCACGAAAACTCTCAATCATAATAACCCGCGTCTGGTGCGAGACTTGAACCCGGAACCTTTCTCACATCGAGCAGTAGTGTCACCCACTCGCCTTTGCTTTCGTTGAATGGCGTCTGACCGACGTCGGGCTTTAGGTCGTTCACCCGCGCGTCAATCGATCGCGGTGAGTCACAGGTTGGTAACCTGCACGTTTCAGAACTGCAGCCTCCACGCCCTCTACACGCGGGGGAACAAAACGCAGCCTTGGTGTGCAGATTACTTCCCCCTCAAGCGGCTGTCCGTGTTTCCCCGCGATACAATGCGCTGAGTCGAGCCCTGCAGTGAGACACATTCCAGACAGTGGTAACTACATGTACCATCTGCTTTAGCGTTCACAAACTCTGCATTCTGCCCACAGTAAACAGCGACTGTTTCCCTAAACAGCATTAACCGGTTGGGCTTTGTAGCGGAGACGTAATGTTCCCTGTGAGGGACGGACTGGATTCTTGAACAGAGTTTAGATTACATTACATTATGTTTCAGCATCCTTGGCAACCACACACAAACACGCATGCTGCGGCGCAAATAAATCCAAACAAGGAGACTTCAGACAACCCCAAGTAAAATATC